ATGAATAGAATCATTCTGACCTTTAGAATTCATCTACATAGAAAAATCATTTGTCACCCATGTGCTAAAAATCATTACATTCATAATTGTTTCTGTTGAATGTCAAAAGTGTGCACCTAACTTTTATATATATACATATATCCTCCTAACTTTTATGTATATATCAATATACATATGTATATACACTAGGTGCACACACTAGATAGATAGATATAGATATCTGCTTTCCATTGTTATCTGTAGAAATACACAACTATAATTACTGTGCATTTTATGCTCTGTTTTTTAAGATTTTATATATCAGGATATTTTGGTCAAGAGATTTTTATATCCTTTGTTTATCCCATTTTATTTTCTTTCCACTTCTATTGCTTGTTTTGGTTTGGTTTGGTTTTAGCTGATAGCACTTTATAAAAAGTGCATTAATTGTACCCTGCTCCTCAGGCATAAAACTTTTATGTAATTTTATGTCATATTTTTTCTAGCAATTATAATTCACCAAAATATCTTGAATGTTCAAAGCACATTTAATACAGACACTCCTCACCCAGTTAAAATGCAGGTGCAGATATGACATTGGCTGAACATAAAAGCACATACTTGGTTGGAGAGGTGTCTCTTGGTTAAGTTCTTACCTTGCAAGCTTGAGGATCTAGGTTAAGGAGAAACTAGGTAGGATGGCTCATATGAGCACTTATAGTCTGTAATATTGGCACTGGGAAGGTGGAGGTGGGTTTATCACTTGAGTTTTCTACTTGATGAGTTCCAGTCCACCAAGAGGTCACACAAAGATGAATGGCACCTGAAGAAATGGCATCCTGTATTCTCCACATAAATACACCCATTCATATACATGCAATTGCATGTACACATACATATACACATGAATTATCATGCACATACATGAGCGTACAGTGCAGAGCCATAGTCTTCTATTTTAGATTGTATTTTCAGCTTCTAGGTAGAATGTGTGACAGACAATTTTTATTTCCAGTAGTTCCCAATAATATGTAGACCACAAAACTCAACAATTTAGTCAATGACTGTTTCAGGAAGAAAACTGCAGGAATATTCCAGTAAGTTGATCTCAATTTTCAGATTTTGCAAAAGGTGTAAACAGAATCCACAGAGTGGCAAGTTCTTCAGTCCTTGCTGCCCCGACATCTAGAAGATTAAGACATCCCTAGGAGTTAGGATGCTAATTCATCACCAGATCACAGTGGTTTTTGCAGTTACTGCATCTCTAGCACGTGAGACACATTAGCTCTTCCATAGAGCAAGCCTTTCATCTCTTCTCAGATGAACCTGGGAGTCATATGCACTTAGCACATGCACATTGGTGACTGTAGCCAACTTGAAAATTGATTCTAAAGTAAGCACTATTATGCCTTCCGGTGCTAGTCTGAGCACTCGTTCTGCTATGCATCTGGGGAACCAGGTTCCTGTCTGTGACTGTTGGCCTTTCTCTGCTGTCCTTATTCTTGTCATGGGTCTTATTTCCTTTGTGTTTATTCTCTCATGAGAGTCCTCCCTGACTGACTTCAGTCTAGCATTGTCACTATAAGATGTGATCCATGAATTTTCAAAACAAAGCAACTCTGGGCCTTGTGGCCATCTGAGAAGAATGGGGACATTTTCTAGTATCATTTGTAAATCAGAGAGCCGAAATAGTTCTTAATCTCACTGGAGATAGAAGAGAGGCTTAAGCTCATTTTTTCCTGAACTTTCATACATGAATTTGTGGTGACATATTATTTATGATTTATTAAAGCTTGCCTGAGGATTCAGAAAGCAAAGTCAGCCTCAATTATAGAGGCCAGGCAGTGGTGGTACACACAGTCACCTTTAATCCCAGGACTCAGGATGAAGAGGTAGAGGCATCTCTGTTAGTTCAAGACCACCAAAGCCTACACAAGATTGAAGAGTAACAGAGTTCATGACCTGGGATCACATGCCTTTAATCCCAGCATTAAAGAAGTATTTAAAACAGGAACAGGGCAGGCATTTATTTATTCTCCAGCTACCTTGAGCATAGGAAGACATTGAAGTCTCAGGATTCTTCAGCCACACTGAGGAGAAGCAGGCAGCAATCTTTTTCTGGAACCAGGATCATCTTTCAGTCTGAGGTAGAATGAGGGCTACTGCCCAGCTACTTTGCTTTTCTGATCTGAAGTTTGAACCCCAATATCAATTTCTGGATCTTTTATTTATAGTGCTACATGAGCTACCACAAACTATATTTGCTTTTAGGTTCTTTCCTCCTCTCCTTTGACAGTAAATAACATCGGAGGACAAACTCCATGTTCTCTACACATGTGAGTTATAATGTTGCTACCTTTAGAATAGGAGAAAGAATTTCTCAAAGTTCTGTGTTTTAAGTTCCTTCTCATTTTCAAAGATAGCAAAATCAAAATGATGTCACCATATTCCAATGAGAATTCATTTTACTAAATTCCTTGTGTCAGGCATTGGTATTAGATACAAAGTTTAAAACTGGTTGTTCCTTTCTCTGCCACAACTGTGCTCTGATCATGCTAATAATACAAGATATACTTCTGATTCACACAGCCTTAAATCCTGTCATAAAACCTGGCATAAGTAGGACACATTAATATTCTATAAGGGTAGAAGAGAAAAATCATCTCTGAAAAGAGCAATGATCAACATTTTGGGAAAGGCCTTTGCTTACTTCCCTTTACCCCGTGAATGATTTGCCTCATTGGAATCTGATCTCTGCAAACTGTTGGCATTGCTTGGCTCATTGGAACCAGTGTCAATTGTCAAAGGAAGGTGACTTGATAATGATGGGAGCTGATTAGGATAGTCCCTGACACAGATGAAGCTGAAATGACAATTCACCATCATATTCAAGTGCCTCACTATAGAACAATGAAAACGCCAACATGTGAAGTCATAGGTTTCCTGTGGCTTGGTTGATCTGCATCTATGCCTGGCCACTACTTAAAATGATGGTGAAGATTTCCCATTCAAGAGCCTGAGATAGAAAAACAGAATAGCTTCATGAGTTAGAACAGGTCACTCCATGTAAGCATGCATATCTGGAATCACTCATCTAAAATCCCAGCATGAGAGCTGGCATGCTCACTTGTACAATACTTGCCTAGCATGCCCGAGGCCCTGGGTTTAATCCATGGTGCTGCAAAATAAAGGAGATAAATCTAAAAAGCAAAGCATCATGACTTCTTTTATGATCCTCTGATTTATATGGTTTAATGTCAAAGAGAGTAGTAATTTGAGCATGGGGAACAGAAAAAAAAAAAAAATGGGAAAGTTTTAAGGTTATCCTAACAGATACTGAGTGTAAAGTGAACAATTTTATGTATGCCTTCATTATCAAATCAAATACCAAATGAAAATAAATATACTCTCACTTCTTCTGTTTTTAATATCCTGTAATTGCTGTAGGTTTTTTTTCTTTGTGTGTGTGTGTGCGTGTGTGTGTGTGTGTGTGTGCGTGTGTGTGTGTGTGTGTGTGTGTGTGTGTTTGTTTTTTGAGACAGTACTTTTCTGAGCAACAGCACTAGCTATCCTTGAACATGCTCTGTAGACCAGGCTGGCCTTGAACTCACAGAGATCTGCCTGCCTGCACCACCATGCCCAGCTAGTATATTAACAGTGGTAAAAATGTTAAAATAGTTTGTGCTACAAATTTACTTCTCAGAATTTTTTCATAGCGACACCTATAAAAAAGGAAGTAGCCTCCTTAACCAATTTCTTTTTAGGAATTTTGTCACCTTTCTTTTTACTACCATGAGAGATTTTGATCTCTGTGTAAAGCTTTTGTGTATACTATGCAGTTAATGGGTAACAGTGAAGGTTGGCATGCACCAGTGTGGCTGTTCATAAAGTCCCAAGATGGTTTTATTTATGCGCTGCGGATTGCCTTAGCTTTACCCTTTAGCACCACCTGCTGGACGAAATAACATCTGCGGATTAAAATAGCCCCTTCATGCTCTATCTATGAATATCGGGTGGGCACCCACACTTAAACTTTTTCAACTTTAAACAACTTTCAAAGTATCCGAGATGTTTCCTGGCCACTATTGCCAATGTAATTACCAAGATGATTTTTTCTTTATAATTAGCACACTAGAGTTTTCCGTATTTACAGAGTAGGATGAGATATATCAATATGGGTATATAGTATGTTCTGATGGAGTCAGGGTAATGGGTATTTCTACTTTTTCATAACTATTTCATGATTTCAAGCTCCTCTCATCCAATCCTTAATAAAACATATGACAGAGTATGGAGATTACCCCTCTAATTAGCTTTTTGGTATTACCCTTCTACCCTCCTTTTTCCTATTAACCTTTCCAGGCTACCGTAATTTCTATTATATTTTCACATTGACCTTTTTGTGGGAAGAGCAGACTGTATTTGTCTTTCAGTGACTGTAAAGCCTTAAAGTTATTTTCAAAACACCATGACTATGAACAGATATGAAAAATATTTTATATTCTTTATCAAAATTATTCTTTTCATGTTTCAATTGTTTATTACATTTATCAATAAAGAATGAATTTACCTGTTCCTTTTTTATATTAGATTAATAAATGCAGTTTAAATTAGGTTGACTCCCAAATGCATCTAACCTCTTTGTGAATAACTCTTTGCCAGGGCTATTATTCTATAATTTTACCATGTAAATATTTTATGAAAAAATAATAGTTTTATTTTTGCCAATAAAATCAGCTATTTGAATACTGTCTTTTCTCCATCCAAGTAAAGTTGAATTTTGCTTTTGCTTAAATTATTTTTCAACTCTTGATACTTAATTTTAATTTTCTATGAGGTAAATTTGATAGTAAGCTCAATGAAAATTCTCTCAACATGTTACTTATAGTGCAGCCTTGTGTTTCTGTGAATATATTCCTAGTAAATACTTTGAAGAACATACTTGGCTTATAAATTTCCCCATGTTTCTCTGTGATAGCTTCAGGACAATACTCAAAATTCCTTTTCTCTTCTACCCAAAGGCCTTGGATGGTACACGGTCAACTCAGCTTACGGAGATACCATTGTCATGCCTTGCCGACTCGATGTACCTCAGAACCTCATGTTTGGCAAATGGAAATATGTAAGTATAAGGCTCCTGGGCCTTCAAATTCTCTCGCATTTTTGAGAGTATATGAGTATATAATACTGACATAATGCTAATGTTCATGTGTGCATATACTTATATAAAAAGAATTAGTGTATTTAATGTCAAAATATTCATGTTTGTAGCATTAATTCTATTTTAAAATACATCTAATATCTCAAAAATTTTACATCATTTTTCCACACTTAAGTAACGGAGGCAGAGGAAAAGGTAGAGTTGCGAAGTCTGAACAGGGTAGTGTAGAGCACAGTGTTGTGGAAGAGAGCACTCTCTCTTTACTAGTTTTTGTGAAATGCAGCTACTACAAAAGTAAGGTGTATCACTACCTAGAGAATGCAGATTTTCATGGGGGATGCAAACAGCTTTGTTTCTGTTGCTAAATCTTCTAAGTGTGTGTGGATATTACAGGCAACTTGTACATTTAACACTGTTGGTTTTATCCATTGCTTACACTTAACTCCATCATATTTTGTCAGGTGTAACAGGTGGGTCTGGAAGTGGAGAATAGAGATCCTGGTAGATGGGTGCGGTACTCCAGTGAACTTTAATAGATTAATGCTTCTGTTGAACACAGATCAATAAAAGGTGTCTTTGTGGTACAATTTCCCGACACAGAGCCACAAGAGACTTACAGCAGCGAACAAGCTTCAAATACACAGACATTTCCTGGAACACAGAAGCACGTTTCCCTAGTCCCTGAATATTTGCAGACATTTGCATATGGGAACATTGTTGGTTACCACATGATTAATTAACGTTTATTACGTCATTTCTCAGAACAGGAGGTGTGTTAAAATACACTGTGAATTGTATGAGTCCTTGGTTGGATTAATTTGTTAGATTTATTTGACCACGAACATTTTTACCTAAAATATCTCCATAAAAATATATTATACTAAATGCTATCACCATACTAAATACATTTTGTCAAAAGTACCTAGGCTTGACCTCAAGGGGAGAACTGATGTGGCCTTTTATAATGTGGGCTCTCAAGTCAAATTAACAGGGTCTAGAGTCTTCCATGAACAAAAGAATTACACATATTTTCTTGCTATGAAAACGAGATATCTTCTTCACAATGTTGTTGTGAGGGCTAAGTAAGTAACTCATAGGAAAATACTTACTAGTACTTGGTAGGTAGCAAATAGCTTTAAGAAGTCAGTTATTACAACTCCAGGATTCAACACCCCAGCCACACTATGCATTTATGAGTGTCATAAAAAAAAAAAGGGGGGTGGTAACATAGCATACTGCATCTCTGTGCTCATATTTGGGTCACTCCAGGTAATTCTGAACTCTTTCTAGTTCTCTACACAAGTGGAGGAGTTATGATGAAAAAAAAGAGTCTATTCGAAATGCTCAGATTCCAAGTCTCAGTGTCTATGATGTAATGCACCCACTGAACTAAATTTACAATCAAAATAAATGGAATCAGTCTAGAGAAAAAAAAATAAAAGTGTGTGATAATAGCACATCTAAGTACAACATAGGGACGAGATTCCACACAAACTTAATTGACTCAAGAGTGCAAGAAGCCAATCAATGATGGCTACTTTCAAATTGTTAGTTAAGCAAAAAGATCCAGTAATAAATTAATGGGATGCCTTTGAGTGACTCTCAAGTCAGTGTTGATTTGCAGAAACAGAGTGCATACTCTAATGTAATGTCATCAGCTGGAAGAAAAGCAGACGAGCTGGACAAATTCAAAGTAAGGAAACAAAAGAAGATAGCTAGTTTCCCGTCATCACTGTAGACTCCCCATAAATGGAGACAATATTTGTCAACCCCTCAAAGTCTCCCCACCTCAGATTCTTCATTAGCATCTGCCCCAAAGAGTGGGACAGAACTCTCACCACTCTCAAGATCACTACAGTGTACTCATAATGCAGCCATGGTACACTCAAATGCCAGCGCTGATGAGGTTGATGAGGGACCTTAGGAAATCATCTTACAGAATGCCACCCTCATTGGCTAATCTACAAGTGAGACTTAGACTACAGTTCTGCCTTCAAGTTGGCTACGGATATTGAACCCACTAATCACATCACAGATAACCCAGAGAAAGCACCAGACATGTAACTAAGCACTCAAACATTAACAATTATTTATTGCAAAGAGAATGAGTATGAAAACCTAAGGTATTGTGTTAACAAATATCTTATAATAAAGGAATAATTTAAAGCAGGGTCTAATACTGGAAAGTGGGCTAAAACTAAAGATTTAAGACAAATATTATTGATACACTTACTAATGCTTTTGGATTCCTAAATATTTGCAATCACAACTAATATTTACTTTAAAACACAGTAAAGCAAACTAAGCCTCTTTATAATTTTAAATTTTGTTATGTATTTTAACATGTTTTTTTCATAATTTATGTTCTCAAAGTCCTTATGAAGTAAAGGGGATAATTGGCCCCTATTTTAGACTAAATTGCTTCCTAGGTAAGGTGACTTTTGGAGACCAGAGGAAAAAGGACACTGTATGGACCAGTGTTCTTGGCATCATTTCCTATGCTGAGTTACAGATTATCTTGATAATATTTCCATATGAAAAGCTTTCAAAGTAAGTTTTAAGCCTCAGATGAAAAACTGGTTGATCAGCTTCTCATTTAGGGAAGAGGATAGTTTGCCAAGCTGAATGTTGCTCCTTCATGAAAACTGAGTATGTGGTGTAAAGGACCCCACATCAATGCTAACTGGCAGATATGAACACTTAACATGTGGGGATTAAAGCAATGCATGTTTCAAGTATAGATGTCTAGTACTGCTAACACAATATGACAAGCTCAACTGTATGATGACTTTGATGGTTTTTTCTGGATTAGTTTTTGTATTTTTATGTTTGTTTCTATCTACTTTTTAGATGTGTACTAAACAAGACTACACCATGCCCCTTCAAAAAAGCCACCAATGTCCCACAGGTGTGAGATGAGCTCCACAGAGCCTTATCCTTTCATTTTTCACCCACTCCTATGAACCTATGAGTGAACCAATAGCTTCATTTCATGTGAAGTGTAATTGTTCTTTCTGTAAGCAAAGAATTATGTGATGCCTAAAAACCATTGCTCTTTGGCAGCAACACCAAAAAAAAGTCCACATAGAATTATATGGCAAAAGAAATCATAGTATTCTGAAATATGAATTATGTTTGTTTTCAACATGTATTGTTGTTTTGATTTTTAGGAAAAGCCCGATGGTTCCCCAGTATTTATTGCATTCAGATCTTCTACAAAGAAAAGTGTTCAGTATGATGATGTACCCGAATACAAGGACAGATTGAGCCTCTCAGAAAACTATACTCTGTCCATCAACAATGCAAAGATCAGTGATGAAAGGAGATTTGTGTGCATGCTAGTGACTGAGGACAACGTGTTTGAGGCACCTACACTAGTCAAGGTGTTCAGTAAGTAGACTACAATGGAACTGCTAAGTGGGGTTGGTGGCTGGTGCTAGAAGGTGTTCTTCAGGTAGAAGCTTGAGCTCTCCACAATACCTCGCCACAGGAAACTATGTGTAAGGGAGTTTCTCTTTATTCTACTTATGCACACTGGTAGCAAAGAAAATAAGTCTGTCATTCACATAGAAGATACACAGTAAGGAGTCAGAACAATAACTTTAGAACAGTAACTTTCCTTGGCATGTGAAATACTACCAGTAACAACTGGTTAATGACATCTAACTTCCAATGTTCAAAGAAAAAATTATGTTTATATAGCTATAGGATGCATATATAATCATGCATATCATACAAATGTATAAATGTTAGGGTTAGCAATGTAAAATTGTCATTTTCATATAAAAAGAATAAATACAAATATAATGTATTCTATGGTCTAGAGATCAACGTATGTACATACATATACGTATATGTTTATGAGTGTGTATGTATGCATGTGTGTGTATGTGTGTAATTTCTAAACTTCAGTGTTTATTGATTCCATTTTTAACATATTCACATGGTTCAGAAAAATTTCCTGAAATAATGAAGCTCAGCATATGAGACTGTTCATGGGATTACAAAGGAATTATACCAAAAAGATAAAGTACAGTTGGAAGAAAGGAAACTAATAGAAGATACTCAACATAATTACTGTGGTTACCATGACACGGTGACTTTACCTGATAATATATAGTTAATGTTACTGTGCAAATAGCTATGTAAATAAATGATTTGAGATGTATAATTAAAGTAGTTCTTTTAAGATTCAAATAAAAAGTCCTACCTCAGTTACATCATAATGTTTTAGAACCTACAAGAGAAGAAAAAAATCAGACCTAAAATAGTTTCAGAATACCAGTAACGCTTAATTGGGAAGAAGGGTCTTACTTTCCCACTGTCCCCCTCTGCTTTTTGATGGCTTGACAGATACTAGTAACGATTAAAATATATAGTAAAGAAGGAAACCCTGGAGGCCTCCAACTGGAGCAAGCAAGCTTGGATTTTTTGCATTTCTCTTTAATAACCTATGCAGCTAAGTAGGGCTTCCCCTTAAGTATTGATGTAGACTTCAAAGCTTCAATGGGTTCATGATGTGGATTCAAAAAGTACTACCACTGCCAAAGGGAATCTTTGTTCTCCAGAAGGGCCTTGTAAATGCATATTACATGTTTCCATTGATTGTCTTTTAGCTTAGAAGGCACTACTTTCCAGAAGTCATCCACACTTTCTTATCATATTTCCATCAAACCAAGTCCTAGCTGTTTACCAGCTCTGACTACTTCCATGGGGTATGAGAAGAGCTAGTATTCTGCATTTGCCACTGGCCATGTTGGCTTTTGAGTTTTCTTTCTATCCCTTACTTTCTTTTTTGTTTTGTTTTGTTTTTATTGGAGAGATGGATTTGCTAAGGGCATTTTTCACCTAACAGCAAAATAATAACACCAACATTACCATAGGCTTTGATATCTTAAATACCAAGAATGTAAGTAGGCTAACTCACAACACTAATCATTATGTAAATTAATTTGCCATTTTCAAGTTTCGGTAAATTGTGTTGAAATTATCGAAGTTCAAGCTAGTACACAAACACATCAAGAACATTCCAAGTTATATTTAGAAAAATCATTTGTGACATTTTCCAAATTTTCTCTTTAAGAAACTACTACATCGATATCTAAAAGTAAAAATCCAATTAGCTTAATTTAATAAAATGTGCAAGCTGTTTTAGAATACAGAAGCTTTCTGTGATGGTGAAAACAAACTCACATGCCATGTACCGCCAGGACCCTTGCCCCCTGCTATTTTGAATGTTTTTGAAAACAAAGCAATTCTCAGTAACAGAATTTGCATTCCAGGCTGTGGGCCAGGGAGAATTTACATAGCAAGTTGCACACTCTTAAAAATGGCATGGTGTCTGAGAAACCACGAAAGACCCACCAAATAGAAGAAAATGAATGACATCTCAGATGACCATGACACACCTACAAGATCGTGTAGGAACCTTGCTCTTTTCATTGAATTATGAATTTGCCTCAGGCCACATTTTGTGACTCCAGCAGCTGCTGTGGCAGGGAGACTTTCATCCTATTTGTGTATATATTTCAGTCACTTAAGAGTTACTGTGCTCATCAATCAGTCCTCTGTTTTCCTCTATTGAATCACCTAGCAACGTGACCCATGTACGAATCAAGTGTGGCTGGTGTGAGCCAATCTCAGATCAGCCTTCTGCAAACTGCCAGCCCCATGAGCCAAATCAAGTTGCTTTTATTCAAACCAGAGGAACTGATGGATGATTTTACCTTCCATGTCGGTTTGTTTGCTTGTTTGTTTAGTTTTAAACTAACTCTCTGATGTAAGAAATCATTTCCCCAAATCCAAGCTAGGAACGTGCTTTGTCACCACTAATCAGCTCTTGAATAGCATCAAAATCAAACTGCTTTTGCGTTTACTGCACATCGGAGAGTAATAAAACTACTTGGAAGAAAAATTAGACCATTGAAAGTTCCCAAAGATTCATTCCAATGATTGTGCAAAAGGCTCAGAGGTCAAACAGGTGCCCAGAGAGCCAAATGGCTCGCTGTGATGAGATGGGAAAATCTGTGAGCTGGTCACCAGAAGACCTTGCTTTGTCAGGACTGCCACTAAGCTGTGACCTTGGCAAGTCTCTTAGCCTTCCTGGGGTTCAAACAACCTCTTGAGTAAAATGAATGTTTTAGATTACGTGGGAGGCTTTTCTATTCTGCTACTAAAGCTCTGTCCAGGAACTCAGAAGCAGGGTCTGGCATTGTAAGAAGCTGCTTCTGTTCAAGTGGTTAGAATCCTATTCACGGTTGGTTTCAGTTATTTACAGTAACGTGTTGATGAAAAAGAAGAATAAAAGGCAGCCTCAGCTACTTAAGAGATCAGACCTCACTTCAGAGACAGCATGGAAAATATAAGAAGACCCATCTTGATTTTTTTAGGGGTGTGAGGCAGCCTTTGAAAACTACAGTCTTAATTTGTCGGTTCTCTGTGCTCTGCAGTATTGTAAAAGAGACATTTCCAGGACTTAGTCCATGTACCAGTCAGTGGCCCAGTGCTCAAGGCATTGGCCAATGTGTGCTGGCTCTGTATGTACATCGTTTCACAGCTCCTACTTGAACATGATTCTTAATGCATCATCGCATTGGAAAGTTGAGAATCTCTCCTCCCTCCAGAGGAAGATTGTTAAATCAGAAAACAGTAAAGGAATTTTTTCAAGGGGAAAGACATAGAAAATGAGCTACTTAACAAGTAATATCTAAGCTGTATGTTATATTGACTCTTTCTTTTTAAGGTGGGGAGAACGAAGGGGATTGACACAGGGTTTCACACAGCCCAAGCTATTCCACAAGCATACTATGTAACATCCTCATCCTTTCTTCACCTCCCAAGTATTGAAATTATATGCCTATCACTGTTTCCAGGTCACCTTGATCCTTAGGATACTAAAAAATACATTTCCCTGTCTGTTGCAAAAAATTACAACAGTGTTCTATGGACACACTATCTTAGTGTTTAGTAGCTAGCAAGGACTTTCGTTGTCGACAGGAATTGAGAGCCTCGCCTCTGTACACCTGCCAGGACATTTTCTGTTTGTGTTCATGGACCAAGCTAGCCTGGGTGTGGTTTTACAGTAATGCTAGGATACCATGGGTGACAAAGAACACTTTTGTACCCAGAACTCATCTTCACCTGTACATTAGATGGCTGGGTGCCCAAACTGTAACTTTTAGGTATTGATCTCTACGTTTTTCTGAAAAATCAATATTCATATCATTCACTGACTATAGCCTGGGAGTTAGAGATAGAAGTGGGATATCTATTTTAGCATATTTATTCTTGATCAGTCCTTATCTCTATACTAGTTTCTTTCTCCCCCATCCCCCAAAAGACTGTTACAAAACAAGAGGAGTAAGGAAGAGCAAAGCTTCTGTTTCCAAAGCACTTGAACTTATGTAACATTTTATATCTAGCTTAGCTTAGTCTTTAATTATTTGTGGTGAGCCTTCAAAGGATATTACTGAAAGAGATCACTTCAGCTTCAGAATATTATACCATTGTTACAGATACTGATGTGTGGCACATGATACTACACATGTGCGCACACACACGAGTGTGTGAACTCACACATGCGCACATGCACACATACACACAGTCACATGAGGCAAACTACTGCACTGTCAGGGTTATTATATGATTTGCTTTTAAAATCTCCCTGTCCTACAATGTGCCACCATATTGTGTCCCTGTACTAATATACTTCGAGCTACTTAATTGAGACAGCCAGGCCTTCAAGGAAGAAAAATGTAAACTAAAACATAATTCTATACTTGATACATGGTCAAGTGAGAGATTCTAGAGAGATTACTCAACAATTTTCTGAAGCTTAATTTTAACTTAGTCATCTTGACTAAATTAATACTACAACCCAACTTGTGGTGTTGCTTTTCTTTCAGTTTTATACTTGGTTATGAATCCTTGAATCATATTAAAATATAATTCGCATGAAGTTTTTTCCTTTTCTTTTACAAAAACACTACTTGGGAATCAATATGCAATTTTGCTAAAATAGTATGTGTCCTTTTAATGGTTCTTCAACTAATATACATTGATTGTTACAAGGTAATATAAAAGAAAATTACATACAAAAATGTAGTTAATACAAAGAAAGGGTTTAAAGCAAGAATCTAAAGAGAAAATAACTCAAGGAAATAGAATAGGTACTATTATTAAGCTATCATTAAATCACAAAATTTCCAGATAAAACATGAGTAAAAATGTAAGGACTAAAGTTAAGCATGTTTTCACCAGATTTCTCTCTCTCCCTCCCTCTTTCTCTCTCTCTCTCTCCTTCTTTCTTCCCTCTTCCTTCCTTCTTTTTGTCTTTCCTTCCATTCTTTCTATTACAGCTTAGTTCTATTAAAACTGTGATGAATTTTAGAAACAATTAATGCAAACAATGTATTTCATAAATTTGACATACATATAGTATGTGTACTTTTGTGCCTAATGATAAAATGTTACCAAGTTTAACAAAAAAAAAAAAAAAAAAAAAAAAAAAAAAAAAAAAACTACATAGTAAGAGGAAGTTCAGATATGAGCTCTTTTTCCTGTGGGTCCTGTGGTACCCAATAAATTGAAAAGCAGTAAAAATTGTCAAAAATTTGCCAGTAAGCTTTTATTCAAAGTCTGCATTTGTGTGATTTGCAAACCTCTCTAAATTTTCTGAGCATGTTACTACTTGAAGGAGAAATGAAATACCAGTTGTCTTTTCATTTCTGTTCATTTTGACCCACTTTTAAAAATCAGATAAATTAATTAATGTGTTCTGTCTCTTGAGTTTTGAAGGACCGTGTCACTTAAGAACTGGCTTCTGGGTCTTGGGAACTTTAGTTTATTTAATTAAGACCCAGGAATTTTCATTTGTTTAAACATTTTTGGTGTATTTGTCTCTCAAACATATTAAATGTTTGTCTTTGACAGCATGGATTCTAAGCAAAAGTCAGTGGTTGATCAATAATTCAGTTTTAATTTGAAGTGTATTCCATTGAAATGCTGAGAGCATTAAGTTGTACTGACGTGGCAAAGAGTTTAACCTCCATGCTATATATTTTCCCCACACTCTAGTGACTATTTTGAGGAGAAATTTTGTTAACTTTTTCTAATCTGTAGTCACTTTCTTAACATTCAGGGACTTGGGTGTCACTTCTTGTTTGTATTATTCTTGATTGTCCTGTTTATTTGTATTGCTGTGTTCCTGTCTTTCTTGTGTTTTGTTTCCAACTGCTGTTGTCATTGTAAAATGTCCATTGGTGGAATTATATTTTTAAAACCTACAGTTAATAAGATCTATAAGTAAAGGGCATAGGGTCTACACACAAGTTCATTATATTCACTGTTCTACTACAAACAAACCTGCAAAAGGAAAATTAATGTTAACCTAAAAAATGTTATATTTTTTTTTTATACATTCTAGTGACAACTATTTTGTAACTCAAAGGGGTTTTGTCTTGTATTTCTATTATAGTCTGATTAGGTCAATCGTTCAACTGAATCCCAAATTGAATAAAAGTATATAAAAAAAATCAATTTAGTTTAGTACAACAATCAAAAATACTTGAAAATATAAACATTAAAACTATGAGAAAATGATTAGTTTAATGTGCTAATAAAAAACTAATTCTTCTTTGATAGTGACTCAATTTACATTATGTAATTACTAATCAGTTGAGTTGTTTGTTTATTTGTTTGGGAGGGTTGGGTTTTTTGTTTTGTTTGTTTGTTTTCATTTTTTGTTGTTGTTGTATCTCTGTGTAGCCTGGCTGTCCTGGAATTCTCTGTAGACTAGGCTGGCCTGAAATTCAGAGATATGCCTACTGATTGCTGGGCTTAAAGGTGTGTGTCACCATGCAAAGCGTAGTTGATCTGTTTTTAAAATATAAAATACATCACTAATAGAAAACTGGAAGGATATAAATCCTATATTGAGATTATATAAAAAGCTCAAAAAGAAAAAAATCTTTAATAATCTAATCAATAACTGGGCAAAAAAACAGTGAGTTCTGAGAAGTACAATTTGCCAATAAATATTAGATTAAAGGTTTTACATTCTTGGCCATCATGGTATTGAAAGTCAATTAAAATTTGCTTCTATCCTAGTGAGAATGGCTATTATTAAGAAACCAAACAATAAATTCTCATGAGTACAAAGAAAGAGAAACCTTATATAAAGCTAGTTGGAATGCAAATTAGTCCCATCACTATGACAATCAGAATGACAATTTCTCAAAGAATTGAAAACAGAACCACTATTGCATGCAGCTATACTATCTCTAGGTGTGCACTCCATGCACTCTATGGTGAAATGCAATAGAGATACCTGCACAGCCATTTTTATTATAGCACTATACCCAACAATTAAATTGTAGATTCAGTTCATATGTCTATCAGCACATGAGCAGATATAGAAAATAAAGTGTAAATCTAGATGTTATTACTTAGCCACTAAAAAGAAACAAAATTGTGACTTCAGAAAATATAAGAAAGTCAACATGTTAAACAAAATGAGTTAGACTCAGAAAGATGAATTTCATAATTTCTCATATATATGTGTATATATATATATTTGCATATGTGTGTGTGTGTGAGAGAGAGAGAGAGAGATCTATACTTAAAAGCATAAAATTTGAAGGAATAGAGGGTACTATTTAGAAAAGGAAAAATGAATAGTACAGAGGATAATAATGGGGAAGAATAAGATCAAATTCCATAATATAGTAGTATGAGAATGTCACAATTCAAGTTTCTGTTGCATTGAACAATGAAGATAAGCTAAGAAAAGCAAAATAACTTAGCTTAAGAAATCATTACCAAGTTTTTATCAATTGTCCCTGAATCCACTCGTACAATTTGTTTAAAGAGCTTTCTATAAATTCTCTGTCCTCCATCTCAAGTTCCAAATTGGAAAGATTTTCTTATATTTTCATAATTTCATAAGATGAAATAAGAGATAAAGGAAATTGGGGTATGTACAATTCTACATACTTTTCACATTTCTTACACATTATGCTTAAGTATCCCCTAGGAGCGTGTTAAAAAATATGGACCAATGGAATTTTCCCTGTAGATTCTGGAAGCTTCTTAAGCCCTGGAAATGTATGTTTCAAATAAAAACCTTTGTGATTTGGATTCAAGTAATGAGTTGGAGGCCTTCTACTTAATAAGTAGAAAGTACCATAGTAATAAACTAGAAATAATTACAACATAATTAGAACGTTAGTCTACATTTACCATCAAATCCATATTTACCACATTAAACACCTAGAGAGCATCAAAGATATTTTATTTAAAGGAATTATAAGTACTTGAAACAATATTTGAAGTCATAAAGAAAATACTTGGCAGGTTATACCTGCTACATTCTATAAATCTGGATTATTTGTGAATAATCTATTCTTTATTCTATTGTTTATGCTTTTGCTTTGAGTATACGGATTCTTTTTTTCATAAATCATGTGTGTCCTTTATCTCTTCCAGCATACTTTAACCTTTTTCTACTTAACTTTAGAGCAGCCATCTAAACCTGAAATTATAAACAAAGCACCATATCTCGAAACAGAGCAGCTACAAAAGGTGAGAATTTGTTTGTACTCATGGCTTTACTCAACTTAGGTGCCCCTATATGCCCAGACAAATGGGATGCACTTGCTTTTGTGGAGTTCACAGTGCTTCGGGTCCAATCAGAGAGCACAGGAAGTCACAGTGGGAACAGTGTGACCACTGTCCCTTTGACCATGACAATGGGCATGTGAAGGAGGGCCATTTCTCAGGAGGAGAAACTTTCTGATGCAGATAACCCAAATGCTTGATAGGGACCAGTGATGAACAAGTACATTTCCTCCGGTCCAACCTTGAGCAAAGTTTTCCAACTAAATGAAATCATTGCTGATGTAAAGAGTGTGGTCTGTCTGGTAAAATCAAGTTTTGGTGTTTCAGAAATTTGGGATGCTACAATTCAAGGCAAGAAAGCAATAGAAGATAAATTTGGAGAGGTAAAAAAGTTATGAGATGAGCCAAGACGTGTGTATTATGTAGACTTTATTCTATTAAAGTAAATTACCATAGGTTTGAAGTACACAGTGAGAGAAGATAGATAGATACAAATAGCCACATTATGACAGGTGGGAAAGGAAGTGAAATAGATAGGCATAGATGGAATTCCACATGTAAGCACATCAATTTGGTAATATTCTCATCCTCATTAACTAAAATACCTCAGTATTCCTTGGTGTTTGTGGGGGCAGGTAAGATCAATTTTGTTAATCCTATTTAATTTTGCTACACAGTGTGTGATAAATATTGACTAATTTAGCTAAAACGCACTTGAAGACTGCACTGAGGGTTATAGGATATGGCAAGTATTTATACTATGAAATGAAAACGGGGTTGGAGAGGTGCCATATTTTAACACTAAATGTTTCTTGCATTTAGAGATCTATGAACCACAGCAATAATCAATATTAATATAGTTATAATGTCGCTTAGTTAATATTAAAAACGAATAGCATCAAAACGAATTTGGTAATGCCTTTAATGGATGTGGTTTTACATAAAATGGAAAACGTTATTATACATCTCAAAATGGATAAGACTTAGTTTTTAATATGAAGCATTACTTTTATGGAAGATTCAAAGGGTCATTTCGTAGCCAAAGAGGGAAAATAGATTGTTTAGAACACTCCATTTCCTGAAGATTCTGAGGCTTCCATGAAATAAGGATTTGAGACCATTTGAAATGAGAACGCTTTCCTTTGCATTTCAGTTAGGTGACTGCATTTCAAGAGACAGTTACCCAGATGGCAACATTACATGGTACAGGAATGGGAAAGTCCTGCAGCCCCTTATAGGAGGTGAGTCTGAGCCAGGCAATGAATTCTCATGACTTTTTGGTGTATTGTATAGGGTAGTCATTCTATGAACTATCTGGAACTATTCCACAACTCTACACTTCGGTTTCATTAAGTTCCCTTTAACTCGTTGAGTGATTTCTTAAGACACCATTTTATCCCTTGTGTGGAAGAGTCAGAAGCAGAAAGAAATTTTTCTATATATGGCATGTCCTAGAAGTTAATTAAATTGAGTGGAAGATAGGATTTCAGGATTCTATTTTTGCCTATGTCTCTGATTCACAGTTTTGAAATGACATCTTACCTTATTGAGTGTCAATTTTCTCTCCAGTTAAATACAATTAGAAGGACAAACGCACCTCTTAAATGTGTTGAGATGTTTAATTACGGGTTGTGCTTTTCTGATGAAAGCTCTTTTATCATTTGTGTTCTTTACTTTCTCTAGAGGTGGAAATACTTTTCAAAAAGGAAATTGATCCAGTTACTCAGTTGTATACCATGACTTCATCCTTGGAGTATAAGACAACAAAGGCTGACATACAAATGCCATTCACCTGTTCTGTGACATACTATGGACCATCAGGCCAGAAGACAATTCATTCAGAACAAACAGTCTTTGATATTTACTGTAAGTAACTGAATACACAATTGTATAATTGTAATGTATTAGAAATAATATTCAAATACTTTTAATCTTTGAAATCCTGATTCAATTCCTCTTAATATTCTGCTGTCAATCCTCACCCCCAAACTTTGATATGCAAATAATCTCCTCTTCCTTGGAAAACCTATAGAAAAAAATGCTTTCCACTTAGTAATAGCCTCCACCTCTTGATGGTGACTCAAAGTCGTCACTCAAAGAGACTATTCTTCGAGCTGAGAATCGAGACATTCACATCACAAAGAAATTGTCAGAATGAGGTTGCAAGTGATAAATGTCATAGGAATAGAATGGTAAGTTCTGAAAGGTCATGTGTTCAAGGACAGTGATTCTGAAACTCTTGAACACATTAGTAGAACACAGATTCCTAGAACACAGATTCCTAAACATCACTCAAGTAAAAAGATCCAGTGGAAGTAAAGAGGTGCCTCACAGTAATAATATTATTACTAATAATCTACGGAGCATATATGGAAAACCACTGCTGTAGGGAGACTTCAGAGACAAAGCAAAATGATGGAAGAGGACATTCAAGAAAGAGAACTGGATGAAAGTATTCAACCTGAGAGAGCCTGAAAAAGATGTATTAGTTCTTCCCCTCTTTAGTCCCTGTGTTCACCTGATTTCTGCCTCTGGGACTGACTTCACACAACTACTCCTGGTTCCTAGTGCTGCCTGTAGTGATCACCAAAATGGTATTCCTGACTCACCCTAAGCGGACTACTTATCAAGCTGCCACCAGAAGCCTCTTCCTAAAACTCAGATCTGCAGCATCCTGCTGCGATGCCTCACAATGCTCACATTCACCTTCCACACTCTTGGATGCTGTGCTCTCTGAGTCTGTTTCAGTTACAGTCATGTACTATGTGTCAACCCTTTTCATCATCATACTTTCCACACTATATTCTTTTCTACTGGTCACATTCCTCTGGGGGAAGACAAGTCCCACGCCTTCCTGTGTGTTCTTATTGCCATGTCTTTATCATGCAGGAAGTCCCTACTGATTCCTTAAAACATAGTTCTGGAGACAAATTCTTTTGGAAGCTTCGCAGGCTCAGACATCTAGGACTTACCCTTTTGTGCAGTGTATAGTATGAGAGTCTGCATGATTAAATTTCTTTCTCTCATAAACAGAGAAATTTCACTGGAGTGAATAGCACAGTATTTTTAACTTCATGATCCTTGCAAGTTACTTAAATTATATTCATACTATACTAATAGATCTTTGACTGGATGGAAAGATAAGTGAACAAATAGGTATGTGAGGAACAAAATGACTAGACTAATTTGGTTGGGGTTCGTGTAAAGTGATGAAATATAACAATCTCACTTGATGTAAATTCTAGATAACCATTATCCAAATTAAGGAACACTCATTTTAAATATTTATTTGTAGGAGATGTACAAAGAATTTTGAATATCATTATAATTGTCAAATGATTATCTTAGAAAACTAATTTAGAGAAAATAGTTATGAAAGAGTTGAAAGGGAAATGAAGGCTCAAAATAGAGGAGAAAATGATATTTTAGCATTATTTCTGATATAGGTCAATTAGGGCATGGACTAGGAAAATGTTAAGTGCGAATAGAAGGGGAGAATGAAATGTAAAATATATTCAAGCATTAAGCACTGGAACCTGGTACTAAAGTGGATTAGAGGCGGCAAAGCAGAATGTCAGATAATGCGAAGAATGATGACTTATTAATAATCAGAGTAAAATCCAAAGTCTGGGGCAAAGGGACAGCAAGTGATGATGAATTTGTTAGGCATGCCAGTAGTCCAGAAAACTACTGTAAAAATGCCAAGTGTGTTACAATAATCCTCTGATCAGACTTTAGTTCTTCACCTCTCCAGAGACTGAAAAGGATTGCAGGGAAGGGACACTGAATTACAAGAGGAAGCCAATAGGTCATGGTCCCGGCTGTCCAAATATCACCTTTGATCAGAGATGTGCCTCTGTTCATTTCTAAGAAAGGGCCACTTCGAAGTATGAACCTGACACACATTACAAAAACAAACAAACAAACAAAAAAGCCATGATGAATCCCACTAATCCATACAACTGAGGTATACTCACAAATAATGGAAAGGAAAAAAGGAGAGAGAGGGAAAGGGTATAGGACAGAAGCCCAGAAATGGCAGCTGTCTGTAGGATGCCAAAAGCAAGCTTTATTTGCTTCTTCTACTCCACTGGGAACTGCTGGCTGGAGAACTACCTGCAACAAATCCAGAAGTGAAACACATGCAACAAACCAAATGAGTGTGTGAACCTCATGTTTTAGTCTCAGGATTTGATGATGCCCAGATGTAGATTGATATCTACATCAGAGGCAATCTACAACTATCCTTCTACATTTTCCTCTGCATTTAATTTAAATGACTGCAAAAAATGGAGGGGGACTTCTCAAACTACAATTTATTAGTTTTACTTTATTAGCTAATAATAAAATAGGTCATGGTAGACACAGCGTTCTTTTCATAAATTTTTAAACAGGCAGATAACTCAATCATTATTTACTTTACTTTCTATCGTTCTCAAAATTCATCCTTCACGGCACTTTCCAGCTACTTAAAGATGGATATTAAGCAATCGTGTAAAAGCCAACACTACTTCCTTTTTCTTCCTGTTTACTGGATAATGTTCTACTGTGTGCAGCATTTAATCCACTTGGCATTCGAGTGTTGAGTAGTCACATGTATTAAAAAATTTCCAATCCTCTATTTTATCTGCAAAAATTAATTAATGGTTAATGGAAGCTATATCATGTCTTGTGTCTTGTTTTAAAGAACAGAATAAAATGACAACAGTATTTATGGTCCCAATGACTGTATAGCAATCTTAATCTCGATTCTTTACTGTCTCTCTTTCTGGCTGGCTCTGTCTCTATCTCTCTGTCTCCGTGTGTGTATGTGTCCATTGAATTAATTTTTTTAAATAGACCTATCCTCCTGCATGCCCAAAACACTGCTAGTGTTGTTTAGCTCATGTCTCTTCATTTTACTTTCATTATTGTATAGTAAGGGTGTGATGGTATCCAGTAGCTTTAGTAACTTTGCTACTCAATTTAGTCTTTCCAAGCTATAAGATTCATATAACACCATTCAATTGCCTTATAATGAAGTCACACGGTGAGATTGTTCTGCTGGTCTTTTACACATAAAATAATTACAGTCATTGCCACCTCAGTTAAAGACATTTTGCTAGGAAGAAATTGATTTTTTATGTAACAGGGTTCTTTGTAGTTTGCTCTAACTAAGATTAGTACTTGGTATAGCAAGTGGCTATTAACTTCAATCCCTCTATAAAAAGATACATTTAAGTAATTACCATTACTAGCTTCTTGAGAAAATTGTGTATAATTTAGTCATTTACATTGTATGCACAGAGTAATTTGGTACTTGACAAAAATGGTTAACTTCTGCTTGTGACTCCTGCAGATCCTACAGAGCAGGTGACAATACAAGTGCTGCCACCAAAAAATGCCATCAAAGAAGGAGACAACATCACTCTTCGGTGCTTGGGGAATGGCAATCCACCCCCTGAGGAGTTCATGTTTTACTTACCGGTAAGTGCATTAGCTGAACTTGACTACTCTCATTTTGTCCTATTGTGTGGCTTCTAGCTGAAGTGAACAATTCTATGTACTTGTGTAGCTTAAGTGAGAAAAACAGGTTATTCCTGGGAACAGAAAAAGACAAAACACCACCTGTAGCATGTCTGTTGAAAGCGTCTGTGACCCAGTCCCCTGTTCTTTCTTCTTTTCCTCGATGTTTAGAGACAAAAAGAAAAAAAGAGGCAACCACAGAAAACCGTAATTGCAAAAACTCAGGGTATAATCATCCAAAACCGACACAGAATCTGTTCTTCAGAAGTAGATCACTAATAAAATCAAAGGGCATGATTGCAAATGGTCTAATGTGGATGAGGCTTCCGCCACAGGCTGCTCTGAACACGCGGAGCTCTTTTGAAGCAAAGACTGTTGTGTCGTGTAGTTTAGCTAGCTTGGTAGAATAATCATGTGGGCTCTTTATCACAGTACTTACACCACAGCTGAAAGTGCATGGAGGACACTTTGAGAAATTTCTTCAGATCTTTGCATCCTTAGTGGTGTGGAGCCCAACTGGAAGAACAGTGTTTTCACTGCCTTCTTACTGAGGAAAGCTATTTACTGCAATCGTGCAATTATAATGGATTTACTCCTAGCATGGCTGGTAGTCTTTCACATCACGAAACTTGTTACAAGCATACATGTTGGCAGATGGCATTGTTCTACCTATTACATTTATATATGAACTTGTAGTGAGACATTCACCCTTCCGCACCTGTTGCACTGACCACGTCTCATTACATGAACATATCATCATTTACAAATAAAAGTTTGGAAACCAAATTTCCATTTTGGCTATTGGGAATGGCAGCTCTAAACTCCTGTTCTATGCTTAGAAATCGTGTCTGCGGGTGGTCTTGGTTGTGGATAATGTCTGCTCCTGCCATCTCTATACTTGCTCTCCTCTGTTTGCTTTCCTTTCCTTTATTCAGTTTCCTCCTTGCTCTTGCTGATTTGTTGCTTTTCATTCTTCTCCCTGCTCCCTTCATTTCTGTCATCACTGTACTTTGGATCTATGACTGGCTTTCCCATCTGCTTCTTTGCTTCCTCTCTGTCCCTCTCCTCTTATCTCCTTTCCGCTCTTCTCCCTTTTTCTCCTCTCTTGTCTGTTTATCTCCTCTTCCTCTCCCTGTCTCTGTCTCTGTCTCATACTTGGAATGAAACCAAGAGTCTTGCACACACCAGGCAAGTTCTCTGCCATCCCTTGGTTCATTAAGACAGTCTCATTATCAGGCTGACCTTGAACTTACGATGCCACTCAGCCTATCCTCAAACTTGCAATCCTCCTGACTGCTGCAAATAGAGGCATGTATGCCAAGACTCAGTTCTTTTAGAATTCCTCAAACCTTTTTGTTGGCATAGGTACTGGATAGGGAAAAATGAAAATTTAAAAAATATTGCTTAAAATTCAAACTCAAGCTATGCTGTCAAAAAATAGATATTATCAAAACAATGTAAAACAGCCCTTCAAAATTTAGCACCAAACTATGAATTGTTTTTCAGATGTTCACAGAACAAATTGGAATAATTTTTGTCTAATCAAAAAGTATGGTCACTTTTTTCTCATAGCTGAGAAAATTGTACCATCCTCAAGAATTACAGTCGTTATTATTGTAGCTACCAAGTAACCATCTGACACTTTCCTCCATCCAAAGGGACAGCCTGAGGGAATAAGAAGCTCAAACACCTACACACTGACAGATGTGAGGCGCAATGCCACGGGAGACTACAAATGCTCACTGGTCGACAAAAAAAGTATGATTGCTTCAACAGCCATCACAGTTCACTGTAAGTCACCTCCTCGGGACCTGCTGTACCTCAAAGGCTTCTAATAATATTACCTGCCTAACTTTAAGAAGTGCAGACTTACCTTTCTCAAACAACTTGATTTCAGTTCATTCTGTAAAATGCAGCAGAAAAAGCTCAACTTTCAAGCAGGTTACCACTGCTATGCTGAATACTTGTCAGTGGTGAAACCCTTGCTTCTGAATGCCTTCAGTTTGTTATAGCACTAAGTAATTTTGATGTGATCTTTAAATAACTCATTATCTATTTAAATGTATGTATACAGAATATATAAATATATGTGCAATATACATAATTTATTTTACGAAGTTCTAGAGATGGAACCCAGGGCTTTTTACATGCTAAGTAAGCATTCTGCCACTGAGCTGTACCCCTAAGCTCTTTTTAGATACTCTTGATTTTAACAAGATTTGCATTTTACTAGAAAAAAAAAACATAGATTATATATCTCAGTTTTAAATTACAGAATAATAACAGCACCCAGATCCAGGTGACACAAAGTCACTGCAGTATCAGCACTGGAAAATGAAGTTGAGGTGACTAATAGCTGAAGTATAGTTAATTGTTGGAAAGATAACCTCTTCAAAATCACCTTGAGTGACGCTTTTTATTAAATTTTAATCGGCTTGGAGAACTCAGGAGGCTCCAAAATTATATTTAGTCTCAAAGAATACGATGTGGGAAAAGATCCATTAAGAAGAGGCCTATAGGGAGCTGGAGAGATAGCTAAGTGGTCAGGAGAACTCCTTGTTCTTGCAGATGACCTACGTTCAATTCCCATCACTCAAATGGTGACTCACAACTATCTGTAACTCAATTCCCAGAGGATCCAGTGCCTTCTTCTGACCTCAGAGTTCACAAGTCATACACACATTTCACATACATGCATGCAGGTAAAACTTTCATCCACACAAAACAATGAAATAATCTCTGAAAAAAGGGGAAAGATGAGCCATGAAACTTGAGGTTTTTCTGTTTGTTTGTTTTTCTTTTTCCCCCCTTGTTTTTCTGAGACAGGCTTTCTCTGTGTAACAGCTCGGGCTATCATGTGGAACTAGCTCTGTAAACCAGGCTGTCCTTGAACTCACAGAGATCTTCCTGCCTCTGCCTCTCAAGTGCTGGATTAAAGGTGTGTGCCATCATCACCTGGCAAATTCTTTAGTTTGCAAATCATGAAAGATCATATTATTAACATATCAGATGCTTCTTAAAAGTAATGATTTATTTTTTTTATTGACACTGCCACTGGGGAAGAATAGAACTCATACATTGTTTTGAGTAACTGTGCCTTGTTTAGGATGTAGGCTGAGGAAACCTTTCACTCAATGGTGTAATCAGAAATAGTCCTCCTAGAAATGATCTGTTATAATCTGCTGTGGAAAATTCCTGTACACTGTCTAAATTGTGCTCTGATTAGTTTAATAAAGAGGCTGACTGACCAATAGCCATGCAGAATAAAGTTAGGTGGGCAAATCAAACTAAGGAGGGAGAGAAGAAGGACAGAGTCAGCAGAGATGCCAGCGAGATGCCCAAGCAGCAAGATGCTAGAGACCAGGTAAAACCACAAGCCACATGGCAATATATAGATTAATAGAAATGGGTTAATTTAAAAGTAAGAGCTAGTTAGTTATAAACCTGTGCATTTTATAACTAAAAAATAAAAAGCCTCAGAGTGGTTATTTGGGAACTAGCGTGCAGGTGGGAGAGAAATGTCCATTTACAGCAATCCTATAGAACATGAGGTGATCACTATGTCACAATATTTTAATTAAATGAGATGAATAAGAAAGGGTACTAACTGAAGGTCATCAGAAAGAATGGCCTGGGGCTCTAGTGTAGGGTCCTCTGCAACATGGGGGCTTTGAGGGACTCAAAACATCTGCAAGCCTTAAGCATGAGACTTGGCTATCCACCTTAATCACATTCCCTGAGAGCAAACATGCAAACACCAAGCATTTGTCCAAAAGCATCACTAGACAACAATATGGAGTTCATGGAGCTCCCATACAGTTGTAGTGGAATTAGTTAGACAGAGGAAAAGAAGAAAGCAAAGTCAAACACTTTAAAGGCAACTGCCCTAAGCTCATGGTGCTGTGTCCTCTATCTACAATGCTTGGAAAACTTATAAGCGAGGAACTAAAACTTGGAGGGACATGTAAAAGGGCTCTTGCTCCTATTGTTTGAGGAGCCCTGTGATAACAGAAGTATTGAAAACTGTTCTCAACCAAGTCCTTTCTTTCTTCGTTTCCTCTGTGCTCATGTTCATGGGTCTGAGAGAATCTGCTGGCAGGTGCTAGCTAGGACAACAGTGTCCTCTAAGTAGAATAACAGTGCTGCCTTTCCCCTCTCTGGGGACCACCCAATAGTGAGACCATTTATCTAACCTTGTTCTATGAAGGAAATTAAAGGAATGTAGCCAACAAACACAAGTGTCTGTGAATAGTCATCTGATATCCCTGTCAATCATATCTTGAGGCAAGTTACTAATATTCCAGTTCCTTAGACATGGTTATGTGTAAGAGATGTCAGGTACACAGACACACAGTATCTTAAGAGGAGAGAGCTATTCTATATGCACAGTGTGTGGAATAGGCCAGGGATGGCTGGATTTCACACTATAAGGAAGAAGACTTGGAGGCAGCCACATCATACCTCAATGACACTCTGCAACAGGAAGGAAAATGAAACTAAGTATGGGGGAGGGTAATTGAATTCGATGTGTTTTATTATTCAAATGCATTCTGGTTTTGACAGATTGACTGGAACATTGGTTTTAAGGCCTGAATGTCTCCTTAAGAGCTAAAGAATTATGATGCTCATCATCATTTTATTCTACATTATATGCAAACATGAAAATTGTATTTTGCCCATTTATCTTTGATCCCTAGTTTTACAAAAGCAGGATTTGTTTCCCTTTCCTAAACAATTAAGCAAAGTGTTGGTGGAGAAACAGGGTGCAAGTGGATAACACCCCTATGTGCATGTACACACACACCAACAAGTATATTGCCACATCCATACATCATATATATTTCTTTTAAGGAATGGCACAGAAAATGATTGGCAAACTGCAATGAAATTATGAAACAGAGACAAAAAGCACAAAAGCACCATGATCTCAACTTAATTCTATAGTTAGATACACATTCCGTGGGTTACAACCACCAGCACCTAATTACCCGATATTGAGCAGCCTGATGAGTTCCCCCACTCTTCTATTTTGTCCATGTGGAAAGGTTTGCGCTGCATCCCACCTATCAAAATATTTAGCTGCCAAGAGGCTACAAACACATAGTGTCTAATACAAAGCCTTTCAGCTTTGAATCACAGTTTGATTTTATTCTCTTTATACCTACAAGTCTTTGCGTATGCTATGACTTAGTATTTTAACAAGTAATTACTGATATCTGAATGTGGAACAGATCTTTTCGCTAGCTTTTGACTTCATAGGTGATGCGCCGGAATGGAGTGCACATTACCTCCACCCTGTTGTGTTGTCATCGTTCACATATGGCTCTTCTGTCAGTGCCTAGAACATAGTAACTGTGTGACAATATTTGCTCCATTGAATTGAATTTTCCTCCTACAAATCACATTATAAGTTTTATATTTAGGAAATCATTTTTCACTTGAAAGGCTCTTCTACACCCTTAAACATGCTTATGTTTTCAAAATTATCTGTTGAGAGTGTACCTAATAATAGGTCTTATTCAACATTTCAACTGCATGGAAAATGGAATAGCATTTCAAAAAATAATTCAACTATTTGTCAATTTTCTCGGAAGAAACATCTGCACTATCTCATAGTTTTTCCATTTATCACCTGCTGTCTAAATATATGTGATTTTCCACTGTGTTGCCTTATCAACTGCTTTTTTAATATTTACCTACTCACTTTTGTTTCCTTACCGAAGCTAGTTGATTCTTTATTTTTCTTAAGATGATAGGTTCCTAAGAAATATTTCTATGCACCCCAAACATCAGTTATATTAACTGAAAATCACTGCATAATCAGTTAGGTCAACTATGTGTTTGTCCAAGTTGGCATCAATGCTAGCTTGGAGGGCTAAGCTGAACCTTCTGCAGTCTGGTTGTCTCACTCATACAAGTCACTTCTAATATTCAAGTACAGCTGGAAAAAAAATGTTGCTTTCTATTTCATGTTTACTCTTTTTGTAATTTTCATTTCAAGCAGATTTTTCTGTCTCACAGATTTGGATTTATCCTTAAATCCGAGTGGGGAAGTGACCAAGCAGATTGGTGATGCCCTGCCTGTGTCATGCACAATATCTGCAAGTAGGAATGCAACTGTGGTGTGGATGAAAGTAAGTCCAGAGCTCTGATGCTGTCCTGCTGCTTAGAAGTTCTTGTCCTATCCTTTTGGATTTTGCTTTACATTCTTAACTGCATAGCTATGTTTGGTTTGTATGCTCGTGTCCAGGTACTCTTTCATCCCTCTCCCCTCTAGTGTTTGCCAAGTCACAGTAGAATGGTAAAGGCACTCAGCCTTACTGAGGCATCATTAATGGATGGGCTGGAGCTGGGCTTGGTGCATTGCTTTCTGATTATATAATGAAGAGTGATCCACGCGTGCATGCCCATACACAAGCATATGCAATTATGGACTTTAAAGATAAACCTTTTAGAGCACATTTTAAGTGCCATCATCCTAACATCGTGCCTGTAGCATCTCTATGGGAAAAAAATGCAGCTCATTCATTATTTTCCCCATCATTTATAATGAAATCCAGGCAGATAAATCTGAAAATTCACAAAGGAGAACAGAGGCTCAAGCTTAGGCTTTCTGGAGTATGAATATGCTCTGTGACCACACCATTTTTGCCTTCTCTTTGATGTTGAGACAAATGTTCAGTCTCTAAAGCAGGTCCTTCTAAATGCTAAGTGGCCTTTCACTTCTAGACCTTCAGAAGCAACTGGAACATTCTATGATCTTGTTTGGGATCTCCTGTATGAGCTCACATAGTCATATAATTTTCCAGTGACTTGGGCCCCAGTCATTTGTACATTTGTTGAATGGGAACAGAGGGTGCATAATTGGTGCCTCCAGTCAAGCTTGTTTGTAAAGCAGAAGTGCAGGTCTATGGTACCAGTGCTTATAGCTTTGCCTAGTATTTCCCTGCATGGATAGGGACACTCAACCAGGGGAATTGTGAGAAAATAAATATCCACATCATTTGAAACAGGGGTGAAATTATATTTACAATAATCATGCACAAATTTTCTTACTAGGAGTTCTTGACAAAATATTATTGTTTCATGCTCTTTTCTAGTCCAAATGTTAGATTCTCTCTCTTTTTCTCTTTCTCCCTCTCTCTCTCTCTCTCTCTCTGTCTCTCTCTCTCTCACACACACACACACACACACACACACACATACACACACACAAAGCTCTCCCATCTCTCCTCTCCTCTTTCTGAAACAGGGTGTCACTCACTAGATTCAAACTAGTCATGTAGACTTGGCTGGCTTCAAGCTTCTGAGTGCTAGGGTTAATGGTATGCACCTCAATCCAGAATTCTCTCATTCTTGCCACAGTTTATTCTACTTTCTCTCAGGCACCATCTTCTTACCATTGGTTCTTCTCTCAGATGATTCCAATGTCAGTCTTCATCATCCCTATTTATAATACTTAATTGTCACAAAGCTAGACAACACAAAGCGAGTAGAATATTCAATGATGGTACAAACATACAGTGTTATCTGAGAAATAAATCAACTATATTAAACATGAAATGCAGTCACTGTTGTTGGTTGAACCCTAATATCTGTGTTGCTAAGCAACATTTTTACTCAACATTAGTTGATGGGGAAATAGGCAGAAGAAAATCCTAGTGTACAAAGACCTATAATCTTAGAATTATGTCTTATTATCTGCCTTTTTACTTTAATTCCTGAAAATATCATTATAATCTGATCTCAAGTAACTTTTTAAAAGATTAAATAGCTTTCCCCTTAGAAATTAGAATAGTAAGGCTTTCTTACTAATTGAATTTTTCATAATTTTATAATGAAACCCAGTGTTTATGGCCATTCAGATCAAATAAGTTTTGAGAACTTATGCCTACAACTCTTTAGATTCCATGAAGGGCATGGAATAATCCTAACACAGTAAGTAGGGACTGATGGAGACTTTCACTCAATAATAACCCATTGCATATATATATATATATATATATATATATATATATATATATATATATATATTCACTATAGACTTAATATATATATAAGTATATAATGATATAACTATAACTCTATAATTATATATATATAATTATATAGTTATAATTTTATATATATATATATATTCTTCAAACAATTAGATACAGTAAGAATAAGACTCCATTTCCCAAATAAATAAAATGCATCCTCAGAAAATCAGAAACTTGTTCCAAATTACCAACACTAGAACAGGAGACTGTGAGCTATAACTCTACTTTGCATGACTCCTAGACTGAGATGGATAAAAGAAATCTATTTTTGAAAGCAACTTAAGTATGCTATATTTTAAGTATACATATTTACATCAGACCCAGCATAATAACTTTAGACAACTATTATGGGACACATATATCTAAAGTCACAACCGTGAGGATGGAGAGATGTCTCAAGGAGTAAGAACTCACTCTCTTCACTCAGTCTGTGAGGACCTTGTGTGAGTTCGTAGCACCTACCACATAATACTATGTGTCTGAAAGCCCAACACTGGGGTTCAAAGACAAACTGATTCCAAGAGCTCCCAGCCAAAATACAATCTTCCAATTCAGTGAAAGACCCCATCCCAAGGCGATGAGACAAATGATAATAGAGGAAGTCAAGAGGTGACCTGCTTTGGTCCATGCACTCATGTACAGGTGTAGGTGTAGTCATCCACACATCCTGTAACACTCAAGTTCAGCTGCCTGGGCGCACACACACACACACACACACACACACACACACACACACACACACCATGCACAGTGATTAAAAATATAAATAAAGGAAAATGGAAGTTGTGTCCTCTGAAGTACTGTGCTCTGCCTTCAACCAGGACAACGTCAAGCTCCGATCAAGCCCATCCTTTAACAGCCTTCATTATCAGGATGCTGGGAACTATGTCTGTGAGACTGCTCTTCAGGAGGTCGAGGGACTGAAGAAAAGGGAGTCGCTGACACTCATAGTTGAAGGTGATGAAATGGTTCAGCAGCAATTTTTTTTTTTTCAAGAATCTGATATCCGGTCTCCTTTAACATTTCTGTTGTGATGTTTTAATTGTAATAATACTTTAGGAAAACCTCAAATCAAAATGACAAAGAAAACTGACCCGAGTGGCCTGTCTAAAACCATAATCTGCCATGTGGAAGGCTTTCCGAAACCAGCTATACAGTGGACCATTACTGGCAGTGGAAGCGTCATTAACCAAGCAAGTATTTTTCTTCGTGTTCTGTGCCGCCCCTGGTCTCTAGCTGAGTTTTATTTAGGGAACTGGAATGTAGGCTAGTTTGGTTACCATGTAGGATATGCAACATATGCTCCGAGAAACATATGACATCTTGATTTTTCTCTGAAGGAAAACATGCCTTAAAGAACACATTTAAATCCCAGGCCCATGGAAAATATCAGAACTACTGTGTTGTGGTATCTGCTTTTGAAAGAGTTAAAATTGGGTGTTTATCCAGGGCCATTAATTCCTGAAACAGGGATAATTAAATCATTAAGGTATATACTTTTCTGCACCATAAACTTGTATGTCAGAGTATAAGTAGCCTCCATTACTTTGCCTGTTTACACATGTTTAAAGGATATAGATTATTGAATCTGGCTCCCAGGGGGTAGGGATCAACATAGTCACTGCCTGAAAACGTGTGTTCCAGTTAGCTTGTTACAGGGCTAGGACCAGAACAAGGCTACCCAGCTGTAAAATCTAGGTTGTGAACTCGTGGACTACAGAAGACATTAATCTAAGCTTAGTATCTGTAGTCTTGGTAAGATACTTCAATAACCATACGGTTTGCAACTTACAAATGCTTCAAATATTTTCTTCTTAATTACAAAGTCAGACAGAGAGAGAGATGAGACAGAGACAACAAACCAACCTATTGCTAAAGGTTCAGAACTTTAACCACACTAATTAATCTCTTTGGGGTACTACCATAACGTTAGTGTAATTTTCTCCATAGCAGTCCTCATGTCTGCTAAGAGCATTAGAACCAGTTAGAGAGTCACAGGAAATGGACTCTTCATTTATGGTTTCAGCAGTCATATATAAAGCAAAAAGATGCAAATTAATTTTAAGTTGAAAACTCCACATTCCCCTGTGGAGAAATGAACCACTGGTTCAGCTCATATAATATAATTTGCTAAACATGGTGGATCTTGGCTCTTGCCTGTGAGTCATATAAATACATTTGTATATGTTTAAGCACAGAGAGCCCTCGGGGTGGTCAAGCTTGAAGCCCTGAATCCTGACTGGGTTACATACATTTCATTTGGAGACACCCAAATAAAAAGACCATGCCTGGGAGGCAGAGAGGCAAGGAGACCATCAAGCCTGAAAAGATGCATGCTTCTCTGTTTGGAATAAAGACCTAAATTGATGACATTGTGCAGAAGCACTTTTTAGATGGGAGGCCTGAGAGACTATTAAGTGTTTCCTTCCCACTCTACTTTCTCTCTCTCTAGCTCAGTTAAGTGCCATTGAAAAAGAATCTGTAGGTACTGGTAATGCTGACATGGAAAGTAGACAAAAGAAGAAAACAGCATACATATGTCTGATGAATAAATGAATGTAACAATGTAAAAGGCGGTGCTAGAAATAAGCGAGTATATTTAGTAGACACTGAAGTAGCACAAAGCCTCGGGGAAAATAGCAGGTACACTTACCACAAGGATAGAAATAATAATGTCATTCTTCATTGTCATGGAGAAGGATTGAGTCTGCCTTAGGGATGATGTGTTATTTTTCTTGTTCTGGGTCTGGGATGATCCATCCATGATATTGTATGTGTTCCCTTCCCCTCCAAGGTATGATGAACCTACTAGGGTACAGCCATGAGGTAACTCCCAGGGAACAGAGGCTAGGGCACTCCTATCCCCAAGACACTTAGTATAGTTAAGAATAAAGCAAGGAAAAACATAGGACACATTGCAAGTTATTGACCAAGAAAAGGCTATGAATGCATATTGGCCTGAGTTGTGTTACATTTGCATCTAATCCCAAGATAGACCCAACTTCATTCTTTCCTCCTTGTTTTTAATTTTTAAATCCTTTTAAAAATATTTTCTTTTTCTCTTTTGGTTAGGCAATATGTATACTCTTTTTGCTTTTTTTCCATATTTTTATTGAAAATATGTTTTCCTGCAGTGTATTCTGGTTATGGGCCTACAGTTTCCCCTCCCCCAACTCCTCCCAGATTCTCCCCACCTCCACTGCACTTTCTTTCTCTCTCATTTGAAAACAAACAGACATTTTAAAAATAGCAACACGATAAGACAAACTGGAATAGGACAAAACAAAGAACATGAATGCGGAGATCCTATAAAAAAAAAAACATCAGAAACCAAAATATGTATGCAAAAAGCCTGAAAAGTTGGGTTTTTTTGTCTGTTTGTTTTTTGTTTTGGCTTGTTTGGGTTTTTTGTTTGTTTGTTTGTTTGTTTAACAAGGTCCTCCAAAACAAAGGGTACAGATCTAAACAAAGAAGTTTCAAAAGACTAAACACTAGTGTCAGAGAAAGACTTAAAGAAATCTTCCTCATCCTTAATCATCAGGGAAATACAAATCAAAACTACTGCATTGCCTCTTATGTTTGAAGGTCTTACATTCAGACATGCCCTCACCCCCACCCCTTTGTACCTCAGGACAATCAAATGCATTTAACTTAAGTCACCATTAAAGGATTCACTTTTTCTATTTAGCATAGGAAAATTCTGGGGAAACAAATGGTTTTATTTACCCATAAACAAATCTTTGATATAACAGTTTAAGGTAAAAATAGATGTCCTTAGCAAAGAGTTAAAAGAGTAGAATAGATACCTACAGCAAAGAAAAAACAAACCAACAAAAAAGCAACATTGATCTTATTTGCAAATAATTAAATGCTAATATTTGCAGAAAGGTGATTATAATGATTAACAGTATGCTTTGATACAAGGGTGAAACTTCAACTGACACTGAGCATCTACTGAAAAAGAAAAGTGTGACTGACATATTAAAATTCCCAAGAGAATCATAGACAGACAAAAGCCATTATAGCTTTACTAATCTGTTTTCTGCCTGCTGTACAGCTGTAAATAACCTAAATTGTCCTTATCTGTAGTTCCCACATACCCTTAAAAACAGACAGTAGGACATCACACCTGTCCTGTGTCATCTACCACTATTCTTTCCCAGACTTGTAAAATGCATTTCCATTTCTAATCTCATCTTCCTTCTTCTTCCAGACAGAGGAGTCTCCTTATATCAATGGCAGGTATTATAGTAAAATTATCATTTCCCCAGAGGAGAATGTTACATTAACTTGCACAGCAGAAAACCAACTGGAGAGAACAGTAAACTCCCTGAATGTCTCTGCGAGTGAGTATTTCATTTCTGGCATTAAAACCGTAAGAAAATTTGAAGGTATTCTTCATTAGCTTAACATCTTCAGTCCCATCTCCCTGTACTGCATCATGGTAAGTTTCATGCATTTGTTTTGCATTTGATATCATCCCCATGAGGTTACTTTTTCTTTTTCTTTTTTCCTGGTTTCCATTCTTTTACTATCTATGTTTTCACACTAAGTTACTTCATATATATATATATATATATATATATATATATATATATATATCTCAGACACTTTTCCCAAAGATAGAAATTCTTCCAAAAGCAAGGGAGAATTAAGAAATGGATTGCTCATATTTAATCAATATTATGGATCCAACGTCAGATAATCCAATGATTATCTATAAACACTTTTATATAAAGGTACACATTTGATAAAAATTTTAATTCTACTATTAGCTTGCATTACAATGTCTTAAATTTTTATCCTACCCTTATTTTATACAGGAATGTCACAAATTTGGCTAAGTAGCAAACTAGTAGTAAAAAAGATATGGGAATTAACAAAATCAGCTTGTAAAACTTTCCCTTCTCATCAGGTTCTAATCATATTGGAAATAGATGAAATTGCCTTACAAAAAAAATAGAAAAATCTGTCAATATTGAAATCCTAGCTTATGTGCTTTTTGAGGGAGAGAAAACATTTTGAAAAACATGATTTATTGGAAAATTAGACACCATTTTCAATTCTGTTACTATTCCTGTTGCTATGTTACTATGGCAACCTTAAATCAGGACTGGCCTAGAGTAAGGTTCAGTTTTAGACAGGATGTTAGCTGACCTGCTGCCAAATGTTTATTTCTTGATCAGTTGGAATCCTTGCATTAGTATATTATGACTATAATAGCTAGGAATTTGAGGGACAAAACAATTTTCAAAAGATAATGGCCCCTAACAGATGGACTAAAATATAAAGGCCCAGTGGATTAGCTGGAGAGCAGAACTAAACAAAATTAAAATATGGTCATTGACTTCTCACAATGCAATTCCATGAGTATTGATTTGTACTATCTAGAGAGAACCCATCCTTTTGCTTTTTTGAACTGAACAGATATTTTTAACACTAGTGTGGGAACCTGTCTTTGTGGGCCTTCAGTCAGATCCAGCAGCCCAGCCAAATTGCCCTCTTCATACCTGACGGGGTAGTGTGGATTGAGGTAAAGACCCTTAAGAAAAAGACAGACACAAGATAAAGTCAGGAGGGCAATCCGGTGAATATTGACCACTCTAAATTTATTCTTCAACAGTCTTAAGTACAGCAACCAAAAGGACATGGCACAAGACTTCTATTATCATGTTTAAGAGCAAACAGAGTTTCTTCCCTTAATCCTCCAAGCATTTGGTAACCACACCTGTTATTGGGCCTTGAAGATCAAGAGTAAACACACCTGAGCCCAAATCTGTTGTTGTTTAGATAAGTCATTCCCTACCAAGACCAAAACATCTGCAGTAGCCTTCCTTAGACCTTTAGGTCTTTTGACTTACTAAGGACAGTTTTGAACTCTCTGACCTTAAGTCAAGATGAAGTGGATCCATCTTTATGGGCCCCAACACACTGTTGAAGCTTTCTCAGTACTTGAAACAGTCATTTCAAACTTTGTGCTCCCTGAGTACTTAAGACAAGGAATGTAGGATTCTGGATTTTATCTAACACCATGGAGAATTCTGATGCTGACTTGTGCACACTGAAGAATGTTTCTGTCTTTGGATGGTGATCCACAAGAGCAATGAGTTTTAACTGGAGTAAGATCATAGCACAATCAGAAACTTGGAAGTCTGGCTGATAGGGTAGGGTGCGGTTTAATTTCTAGAGTACCCCAGTTATAACCTCCACTCCAACTCCTACTTTGAGAATGTAATTAATAGTAGTGTCCTTGATACTAACAAATGAAAATGAATTCTCCTAAATAAGGGCAGAAAAAGTTGAACACAGTTAAGAAATGCAACATTGTAGATTTCATAGGAGCCAACTTGTTTCTCCTAAAAATAAGTTCTAGTGAAAGATACAGACAGTAGGAAATTAATATAGATTTTAGATAAATACAGTAGCTTGTTGGTTGTAAATTTTCTCTAATAGTTTAAAACATTTGCATATTTAAGTAGTCACCTTAAAACAAGATTAATTCCCTCCTAGGGAAGTTCTTGCTCTATCAAATGTGAATTTTCCTTTTCTTTTCCCTTAGTTCTAGAATAGCTGTTTTACCTAAGTATTATTACATCATACAGTTATGGTAAAGGTGACTTTCATTTATCAACAAATTTTGTTTTTAATTTCATATTAACATTTTTCATTTCAGTAAGTATTCCAGAACACGATGAGGCAGACGATATAAGTGGTAGGTACTATACTGCAGACTCCTATGCTGTAGACTCCTCTTCCTTGACTGTCAGCTCAAGATTTATGAAGTGTCCTTGTATAAGTGAATTTGTGTAGATGTCCAAAATTCGACTCGAATTAAAATACCAAATGAGACAAGATTCTAAAAATTTCACCCTTTAAAAAAATCACAACTTTGCATGTAAATCACGGTAGTGAGCCTTAGTCATCATTAATAAGTTAAAAAGACACCAACTTTGTTTTAAACTCTTTGGCCCTGGCTATAATTCCATGGATTTTTCTTCTTTGTTGTAGATGAAAACAGAGAAAAGGTGAATGACCAGGCAAAACTAATTGTGGGAATTGTAGTTGGTCTCCTCCTGGCTGCCCTTGTGGCTGGTGTCGTCTACTGGCTGTACATGAAGAAATCCAAGTAAGTTGTAGAAAATGGTTGTTGCTGTTCTCAGCCTCCGACGGGATAAATCCTACTTGCTGATTGTGCTTACCCTTGCTGTGCATGTCAATTTTATAAGACAGACGCATCATCAAACTAGGCATACCGCGGTTTTTGTCACTTCACAGTGACTACAGGGCTAACATCAAGACGTGGCCTGGGTTGTGCTTTGTCACCTTATCTTCCTCAGTCAACATTCTAAATGCAATTATTTTTGTTAGTGTTGCCTTCTGCATGGGTATATTTTTTTTTAAAGTTCATTCTACCCTATTTATTGCAAGTTGGTTAAGATTACTTTTAAAAAGTTACATATTTCAGGGACTGTCAGTGACTGAGCAGTGTCTGATCTGACCTGGAAAAAAAAATGCCACTGAGGTGAGGATATCTACCTCTATTCTAATTGAATGACTTTATTCCTTGTAAGAACCTAATTAAAAGGTGGAAAAATCATTACCTTGGCCTTAGTGAAAACATTGCTTAGACAAAATACTACAAATGCATTTAAAACACTTTAGATAAGGTTAGATTTGAAATGATTGGAATCATAAAGTATGGTGTGTAAGATAGACCCTAAAGATCTTCTAACATTGGTTACATTGAGTATGTGGTTAAACTAATGAAGATTACCAGTAATGTCAGCCACTCCTTATCACACTCAAGATTCAGATGCACATCATTTCTGGAAGACAAGACACATCTCCCAAATCAGACAGATGACAATTTGTATGAGTCCACATTGCCAGAACAAGGGGAAATCAAGTCTGACATTTTGCATGTTTTAAAAGTCCAATTGGTAATTCTCCACATTCCTGGTTTCAAACAAGGGCTTTAAAATAGTATCTTACAAGTGAATAAACTGTTTTTACAACAGAGTATCTGTAGCTAGTACCAACCTAGAGCATCATTTTAGGCTTTCACTATGTCTGGGTTAATCCCTCTAAAATTTCAAGAAATATTTATTAAGAGGGAGTTGAAAGATAAAGTGAGCTCAAATCTACGATCTTAGTCTCACCCTATAAACATGTCCATTCCATGTGGAGTTTCCTGCCAGGGGGACACAGCTAGAAAAACGTGGAAGTCACAAAGCATGATAACCATATAGTAATCAAAACTAAAATCACAGGTGAATAAATGCTGGACATTTTGCTTAATAATGTCATTGAGTTAGGCCTCAAGCATTCCTTTGAAGTTTGTCATTAAGTTAAAGGCCAGTCTAAACATGTGAGTGCTACTTAATTGAAAGGTGTGCCCAATTTGATAGACTTAATATTATTGGTAATTACTATAATAAGCTAAAGCTCTCATCATCTCAAGTACTGGAGACTTTTATGAAGAATATGTGGGATGCTTTGGATTTCTAAAAGCATCTAATCCCTTGCCTGAGCCTCTAGAATAAGCTGACATTTGTGTACTGTGAATGAATGCTTAACCCCTTAAAACACTGGCAGAGGAAGTGCAGACTCATCATTTCAGTTAAGAATCTCAAAGACCAATTTTTGTAATGCAGTTAGCAGAGCAGTGGAGTTTTAGCAACATTGGAGAGGCGTTCTTTGAATTAGTTATGGTAAACATCATGGAAAAACAGGAGAAACTTTTTATTACAAAGTAGAATTGAAGAATACATTCATTTGTATATTTAGCATTTTTCATATCCCTTATAAATCCATATATATTTTGTTACCTTGTTAAGAATCAAGATGTGACTGTGCCTTTGTGCATTTAGTATCCTGCCATGGAAGAGGAACACACCCCAAGTTCAGGGATGGATGGCCCCTCCATTAAAAAACCAGGTTATCCAAGTTTGAATTTTTTTTTTTTACTTATAATTTGGCAAGCATTCAGAAAGAAAAAAAACATTAAAAGTCCCATTATTTTCTCAAATCATAAATAATAAACTAAAAGGGAAATAGAATAAAGAGGAAATGTTGGCATATCTAGCTAAGTACAAAAGTACAACATCACTGGCCACTAAGTGCAGGTCCTGAAAGTCCTCAGATGAAAGGGCTCACATCAAAATAGAGCACTTCTGTTTCTAAACGATCACAGTTCACTTCCTGTGGAAAAATGTAGGTACCTGGCCCTGTCATGGGTAACCTTGGATCTGTGTGTACTGGAGAGAAATTGAAGTTATCCATATCTCACAGGCTCAATTTCTCCATCTGTTGCGTATAGACACATGTGCCTTTTGGTATTAGTATGTGTGTCCAGTTATAAATTAAATGCTCATTAAACAAATTATCATTGTTTTGTTATCATTTCTAAGGTAAGGGGAAAATGTCCCTCTCCTTGCCAGGAGCCAGACTGTTTTCTGTATCGGTAGCTGACACAGAGCCATGCTATGGAACACAATGGGAACTTCTTGTTTTCATGGAGTCAGGATTTTATCTTTATTTCCATCTTTCAATATTCTGCTTACTGTGCAGTCTACATACTCACTGCTAGATAAGATGGAAAGACTATTTCCTGATTATTATTTTTTTAAGAGGACAAAAGCACTCCTTATTTTAGTGAGCACAGTCTCAAAGTCTACATATAGTAAATTGAAAGTGGTAGCAAAAAAACACAATTGTTTATTCTTCTCCAAGTCAAGAAATTGCTGCCCACTGTCAGCAGGATTAAAGCTCTCTCCTCCACCTCTGACTTTTCATTAACTTTGGCCCAAGAGGAGACTCGTTCTGCTGACAGCTGTGACCAGGGAAGAGGGGAAATAACTATTATCTGGGATATGACCCTAATCACCTGCACAGGTGTCAATGGTCAGCCTGCTTGAACTAGCAATTTCCCACCAGCAATGTGTCTGTCCTCCAAGCTCATAGTCATGGCACCTGTATGTGATGAAAATCTGGCACACTGTAAAATATAAATCAGAGAATTTAACCCTTCAGTCAGAAAGAGTGAGTTTCCTTATACTCTAACAGGGTTTTTAGTTGATTGTACACATGCATGTCTGTTTTTGAACATGCAATAATTTCAAAAGTATTTAAATTTGAATATTAAATAATTTCAACATACATTATTTTACTTAACAAATATGAAATTCTGTTTTGTTGTTGGAGGTGGTGGTGTTGCTTTGTTGCTGTTTTATTTCTTTCAGTGATACCTCTCAGCATGGCTTGAACCTATATTTTCAAGAGCCCCCTTCACTTCCCCACCCCCACTAAATTATTGTTAAAATAAAGCCATCCATAGAGAGCAACACTGATGACTTCTGTACTTTCTCTCCTAAAGAACTCAAAGCAAGTGTAGAATCACTTGGTGATGTCTGTGGAAAGAACTCAGGCTTTCGGAGAAGTGATTACAAACAGCTTTATTTAGCTCCTTCACAGAACTGCTCTTTCAGATGAACTGAGACATAGATTTGAACTGGTCTGCTCAGTAGCCATGTAGCCTTTGGCAACAGCTCTGTAACATCAGGTTGTTGAGTCATGTGTCTAATCTAGAGCTTTCTCATGAACACTCCGGTTGATCCTTGCGGATAGTTATTTCCCAGAACAGTCTTTAAAGGGAAGAGTATAAGTGGAATATTTTTGTCTATCTTGGTCCCACTAAACTGGATTTCCTCCACCCACCAGGTCCTGCAGCCACTTAAGAAATAACCATGGCTTAGGCTTCTACCTGGCCAGCTCTCTCTTAATCTTTAGCTCATTACTATTAGTCTATGTATCACCATGTAGCCTTGGCTTACTGGTGATACATGGGTATCTTGACTCCCCGGCATCTACAGGGCATTTTTGTCCTTTTTCTTTTCCCTCCCTCCTTGTTTGGGATTCCAGCCTAGCTAAATCCTGCCTGTCCATTGGCTGAAACAGCTTTATTCATCAATCAATCAGAGAAACACATAGTCATAGCGTATCCACCATCAGAAGAGAATTCTCAGACTCCTACACAAAGTATGATGGGAAACTGAAGAATACAATGAGCAAGAGAAATAGTCTTCCCCAGGGAAGAATGCTACAATTGATTACCCTACACCAAATGCTCATCCCTGAAAGCATACATACAAGTGGCATTAAGCAATATGAAGTAATTATTTTTAGGAATATATATGTTTAAGCATATACACATATGCATGTACCAACAATTAGTGGAAAAAGAGGCCATCCATGAATTTGAAAGACAACAAGTAGAGGCTCATGGGAGAAGGATTTGAGGGAAGGAAAGAGTTAAAGGAAATGAGATTATATTATAACCTCAAAAAGGAAAGAAAAAATTTTCTTAAAAAGTAAAAATAAAAACTGAGAGAGAAATTCTCAATAAAGTGTATGCAACTCTTACCTGTACATACTCAGCAGAGGGTGTGCAGTCCTCTATCCCAGCATCAACACGTGTTTCTGCTTGCCACACCAGATGGTGGTAAATCTCAGCAGAGTTGCAGAACTGGAACCAAAAGGCTGGAGTTCGAATCCTGCCTTTGTTTCTTACAAGCTATGTGAGTGCAGGCAAGCTTATTTTTCCCTGTAAGATCAAAATATAGTGAGAATAAAACAGTTTCATACCTGTGAAGCCATTGTTCTTTTAAATGCTAGTGATAATTGTACAAAAAGTGGCATTTAAAAAAGGAGAGAGAATTTCCTTTTGCCTAACTTTTATTTTCCTTGTTATTCTTTATTGGTTTGTTTCCTAACAGTTTATAAATGAAGTCTTCATTCTATACATACATTTCAAGTTTTGTGTTATACACAAACGCCCTCTTCCCATACTTCAAGCAAGGATGGTTCCACCTGGGTTAGCCCAGATAGACATACTGAAGGGATTTGTCTTGAGAATCACAACTTCCCTGTAGAGAATTCTATCACCACCCTCATATTGGTGCATTTTTCTTTTCTCTTATTTTATGGAATCACATAATTTACAATGAATTTTTGGACACCTAGACTGTAAATAGGATAGGGAATTAAAATGCTATCAGTATTTTCATTGTACTTTTGCATAGTTCCTTCAACTCTGTTCTTTTCAGCATACACTATTTTGGGGATGGGGGGGGGAACTGTTTAGACTTAATTTGCTCTTTTTTTCTCTAGTTATCTGAAATAAAAATATAGAACATTGATTTTAAGCTCTCTTGTTTTATACCACAGCATTAACACAGCATTAAACTACCAGCATCACACTGAGTATTGTGTCACTTAATTTTTTAATAACTTGTTTTTAATTTTTATTTAAGTATATGAACATTGTGCCCAGTGTGCACATAGATCAGAAGAGGATGTCTGGTCCTGAACTGAAGTTACAGATGGTTGTGAGCCACCATGTGGGTGCTGGAAATTGAACCCAGGTCCTCTGCAAAACCAGGTGGTGCTCCTACCTACTGAGCCATCCTTGCAGCCCAGTATTATGCTACTTATATTCCACAAATATCAATATGCTCTGTTTTCATATTTGTTAGGTTCCAAATATTTTTTTAATTTCTTGTCACTTCTTTACAATCACTTGATTAGGTCTTCCTTAAACCCCAAATATTTCTCATTTAACTCAATTTTGTTAGCACTGTTCCAGTAACCGTTTAGTTCTTGTATTACAATAGGATTTCTTTGATTTGAGTGATTCCTAAGGACACTTGAAACAAAAGTCTTCTGAAATGAACAGGGTAAGGTGAAAACTAACTGTTTAAATCATCTTAGTCCTTCATATATATGAAATTTCATACTATGTGATGTAAGAAGTTTGCAAACATGTGCTCTCACTTCTCCATTACATATTTTTGCTACTTAGCATATTTCTTATGTTTACATACTTATAATCCTCACAATCTTTTGATATTATGTTATGTTTTAGCATTTTTTTTATTATTGTCAAAGTAGGGTCTCACTAGACTGTTTCAATTTACTTGGCTATTAGGTCATCTAGAGCTGTAGTTAGTTTGAATGCATCTGAGATGCTCGTGACATGACTTTACTCTAGTTCTGTGGTTCTCAAGATGTGAGTAGTTACACCTTTGGGGGTCAAATGACCTATTCACAGAGGTAGCATATCAGATATTTACATGTACAGTGCATGACAGTAGCAAAATCACAGTCGAGAAGAAGCAACTAAATGGTCTTATGGTTGAAGGTGACCATAGCATGAGGAACTGTATTGAAGGGTCGCAGAGGTTAGAAGGTTGAGAACCACTGCTCTAGTCTAAAAACTGGGGTATCTACTGACAAGAAGTTACATCATGATCTTCCTCCTCTTTAGTTCTGCTGGAAATTTTCTTTGTATAAAGTTTGAAGTTGTGAACTTTTGGAATATTAGGCAGGCACGTTAATGTCTTGTTTTCTACACCGTGTTTCTTTTAACAAAAAACAATCTTTTTCACTTTTCTCAAAAGATTGGACTGTCACCCATTTTCCATTCCTAAAATCCCAAATATCTGTATACTCAATTGTTTTGACTTATCCCACAAGTTGCTGAGGTTTGACTAATTTTTAAATTGTACTTGTGCTGGGAAGAAAGCTCAGTTGGTAAAGGTCTTGCTTCATAAGCACAGTGACCTAAGTTCTGTCTCCAGAACCCACATTAAAAATACAGGGTATGGTGGCTCACACTTGTGATCCCAGCACTGGAGAGGCAGAAATAGGTGAATCCTTGGGACTTTTTGGCGAACTAGTCTAGCACAATTGACAATTTTTAGGCCAATGAGAGAAAGGGAGAAATATAGGTAGATGGTACTTCTCTAGAGACTATATATTTAAGAAACATTTCTTATATAAAGTAGGAAGGAAAGAGAATGAAATAATAATTTCATTTTATTTATAATCTCAATATGTAAGAGAAATAATTTTGCAGAAGGTGGTGCTGAGATAAGATGATCTCTCAATTGCCTTGATTGCTTTGATGTATAAAACTATAATTATTAAATATATGATTAATAGCTAATAGGATATTCAGGATACTCTGTCTATCTGTATGATCATAATGCCTCCTGAAATGGTGGAATATAATAGTTTCTAGCTCTGTCATTTCAGTGTAGGACTTTTAACTTTCCCTACATGTGACAGGAGCTGTATTTGACAATAATATCAAGATGAGAAGAAGGAAATAGACTGAAGTTTAGCACGATGGGTTGTTCAATGTAGCAAAATTGATGCCTTGTATGCTCTTATCATATTCCTTCCGTTATATGATGTGTTGTGGATAAAATATAAGTAAAACATGTCCTTTATTCTCAAGGATCTTTTGTTTGGTCAAAAAACAAATCTAAGGAGTTTATCCATATTTGATACTTCATTTGGCAAATGCTGAAGGGAAAGTCTTTATCTACATTTTAGGGCAAAGGGTTTCAGGATGTCTGAGAGAGCTGTCTGTCCCTCAGGAAAAGGAAGAACCACAGGGTAGATTAGCCCCATTCAAATCACACCTAAACCCCATACTACCAGGAACCTTGGCAGAACTATGGTGGTTTCCCCTCATCATCTCTGCTTAGCAAGAGAAAGACAAGATCTTACTTGCTACAAACTGCATGCATTGTGTGGAGACAATACATTTTTGTATACAATGTCAGCATAGAAAAAAAAGGATTGGACAAGCACAGAGTAAATATGTACAATATATAATCAAGAGAAAATTAGGGAGGAAAAACAAATAACTAGCTAATGGGAATACTACAGTTAATCAGAACAAAGGCTAAAATATTCCTAAATGTTGTATCTGGAAGTTAAAAGAAGACGAAAGGCAAGTCAGAGAATAAGAAATAGGACAAACCCACAGGAACAACCTGAATTGTGTGTCTAAAGTCCTAAAAGGACTACAGAGCAAAGAGTGCCTGCTAGTGAAAGCCCATCTTATGACTACTTTTCCACTAACTAGGAATATTATAGACTTACAGCTGAGTTTCACAAAAAGGCAAATACCAATGAATACATACGATATGATTTTGTTAATCTATAAACTACATGAACAGTTAAAACTGTCCTCTAGACATTGAGTTTGTGTGACTTTGTGGGGGCTGCATTGTCTGTGAGGGAATTTAAATGTGTGTCACTGTTTTATATTCTGAGTTGAGTTCAGTACTATTTATGTTTATGTAGCTAATTTATTTCAAAATTAACCTAATTTTCTTCATGATAGGTGCATTAGCTTGGGTGGGTATTATTTTTCAATGCAACATTTTCCAAAGAATCATAGATTCACCAAAAAATCTGAGAAATCACCAAAACCAGCCTTCTCACCTTTATATCTGTAATCTGTATTAATCAGATTTTGGAGAGGGATGGAAAAATCTGAGATTAAACAATAAAAGAAGGAAAAACTTTATTTAGGCCTTATAGTTTCTGTGACTTCCATCCCACATTGACTGGGCCCACTGCTTTGGGTCTGATAAGACTCATGGCAATGCATGTCTATTGAGCTAATGAAACTCCCTCAAAAAAAAAAAAAAAAATATATATATATATATATATATATTAAATACAGAGAATAAAAAAAGCTGACTAAAAAATGATAACGATTGCTTCTCTGGTATCGTAGGGAAAAATAATTCAACTTACACTACAGTCCAACAAAAAATCATACAATCTGGTTTCAGAATTATTTTTGTCTCAACAATTATTTAATTCTATCCTACTTAAAATCTCGTTTACTTTTTCTTTCCAATGTGTTATTAGTCTTCACAGATGTGTAATTGTGCAACCTATTTTTAGAAATATTTTCAAAGTAGAACAGTATTTTTTTAATTTGAATGAGTATGTGTTATTTCATTCTCTTGTAGAACTGCATCAAAACATGTAAACAAGGACCTTGGTAACATGGAGGAGAATAAAAAGCTGGAAGAAAACAATCACAAAACAGAAGCCTAAGAGAGGAGTGGTCCCAGGTCTTCAGGTAAATGGGAATAAGGAGGCGACTCCTGAGAAGTGTGGGGAAACCCTGTGGGGATCAAACCCAAATATCACTCCCAGATACTTCTTAATTACAGCTCCCCAGCCAGGAAGAAGGTTTTCAAAGTGAACTTCAGTGACTCATTGCTTTTCACAGAAGGGATTCTTCCTAGTCTCCTCAGCCTCCCCAACATAATTAATATCCACTGAATAATAAAATCCACTTTTGAGATTTTTAGCACCTCATTTGCATTTTGTTTTTTAATGCCAAAAACTTTTGCTGCACACAAAGAAGATTTATTTTATAAGTTGGTATTTGGGTTCAGTAAGCACAAACTCTAAATTTATTTTTAAAACCCATTAGAATAAATTTTAATATATAAATACTTTAATCCAAGGAAATGGCATAATTGTAAGTATATTTATACAGCCATCTCTCCAGTCATTTTAATGAAAAGGCTGACAAGCATATATATATATATGTATGTATGTATGTATGTATGTATGTATATATAGAGAGAGATACACACATATACATAGACTTTCTTCTTGGTAGTACATGCATATCATGCTTGTGTGAGTACATACATATGCATTCAAGTACCTACATGTTTGCATATGTGTTTATAATGTATGGGCTAGTACTGCATATGTTGCATGTATTCAAATATATTAGCTGCATCTGTATGATTTTTAAGGCAACCTCGAAAAGGTGTATGACTCAATATTACTACATACAACTTGACCATTGTTTCTTTGTGCACCCCTGAGTCCATCAAAGGCATCATTTGGATTACTAGTCTGTGTGTCATGGAGATGACTGCTACTACTGACAAGCTGTAAAAGCATAACTATACCAGGCAGTGGTACATCCCTTTAATGTGAGCACACAGGAGGGAGAGGCATGTTGATCTATGTGAGTTCGAGGTTAGCCTGATACAGAGAAAGTTCCAGGACAAACCATAAATACAGACAGAGAAAACCCGTCTTGAAAACAAAAACAAAAACAAACAAACAAACACAAAAGCCCAACTAGTATAAACTTTAGGTGTAGGACAAATTAACTGCAAGTCACAATCTGGATGGGTCATTTGAGTTCGTTCATAGCACAGATGGAATGAATAGGAAAGAATTGCAGTTGGAAGGCTGTACCCAGGAAAGAAATGTGGCATAATGGAAATGAGATCAGTTTATAAAGTCTGTTAGCTAGATTAAAGAGATTGAGGAGTCAGATTTGGACTCTTTCTCCTGATCTGCTCACTGGGACCCAGATACCTAGCTAGTGATTTCACATTTTCTTCTCCACTACCCTACTCTATTTTCCTCAATTCCATGTAAACAAACTAAACCCAGAATTGAGTTGAGTTCCATTGCACTATAAAACTGAAGACAAGGCCTGCAAATTAGAGTGTGATTTATAGGGATGGAGGCACTCTTTAAATATGAAGAGGAATATAATGAAATGTTGTCCTGAAACGTCATTATTCCCCTCTTATCTTTATGTAGATTAACCATGTCTTGCAAAAAGAGGGAGGGAGAGAAAGAAAAAGGGGAGTGAAGAAGGGAGGGAGGGAAGAGAAAAGAAGGGAGGAAGGGAGGGAGGGAGGAAAGAAAGAAGGAAGGAAGGAAGAAAATCATCAATTCCAAAATTATATTGTAGAGAGAATAGGGCTGGCTTTACAGGTAGACTCAGGACATGGGTTCTATAAATAATTCCTTCTGTAATATAATTATTGTCAATTTTAGTACAAAGGATCTGTTGATGGTGAAAAATGATTCTTATGGTAATTTATCTGCATTATATTTTTTCCATCATTTCAGAGAAAAACCATATAGACAAATTGAAGCATGAACGTGGATTGTATTTAAGACATATACAAAGAAAATGACAGCAATTCATGGTTCAAGTATTAAGCAGTTCATCCTACCAAGCTGTCACAGGATCTTAGAGAATTATCTCAAGTAAAACAATGAAACAGTTATAAAATAAAATAACAGCAAGATTTGGCAGCCATGATAATAGGTCATATGTTGTATTTGGTTTTCTTTCTTGTTTTTTTTTTTTTTTTTTTTCCTTTTCTGTAAATGTCTGCACTAAGGATTTCCTTTAAGTTTGCCTTTTATGTAAATTTTTTACGTAGCTATTTTTATACACTGTAAGCTTTGTTCTGGGAGTGGCTGTTAATTGGATGTATAATGTAATGTTTTATTTCAGTTGTTTATATGGATAGTCTAAGCAGGTACCGTTCTGATTCTGATTGCTATCAAGAATGCCCCAAACTTTCTTACCTGGACCTGAAACCCATAGGTGGCAGTTTGTGAGCCTGGAAACACATACCTTGCCTAGTCAGAAGCCAGTTTCTTAATTATGAGGAAAGGGGCCAGCCCAAGTGTCCGGGGCTCTATAGGGTGTGAACAGAACACACAAACTGACAGTTTTGTCTTCTTTGCGAAAGACATACACAGAATTTGGGTCCCATATACTTATTGACACCTGCTAGGAAATTACATTCAGTCAAAAGAAACATTAGAAAAAAAAAAAGATCAGAAAAAATAAAAACCCTAATGTGTCAGAAAGAGTTGGAAAACTCACAACTAGCATTCCCAATTTCACAGATCTCAATGTAAATCACTGTAATTCGAATTGGTGTTAAACCCCTTGGGTTATCCACTGCCTTAAAATGACACTTATTTCCTTTAAAAATAAAATAGAAGATATCAGTCAGAATTGAAGATTTTTAACAGTGGTCATTATTAAAGCTGTGTTATTTTCCACAGAATATAGAATATATATTTTTTTCGTGTGTGTTTTTGTTAACTACGCTACAGATATTGAATGCACCTTGAGATAATTTAGTGTTTTTAACTGGTACATAATTTATCGAGCAGTACATGAAAGTGTAATAATAAAATGTCTATGTATCTTTCGTTACATTCAGATTTGTAACTTTATAAACATGTTTTCTGCCTGAGGAACTTTTTAAGAAGGTAGTGTACACGGGAACTTCTTGAAGTAGACTGGATAAGGGCCAGTAGCGGTTTGTGATTAGACTTCGATCTTTGCTCTTTCAGGTAGAAGCTTGGTTTCTGGGATCACACTGCACTGAGCAGCTATTTTGCCCCAGATTTATGTGTATAACTTTAACTGAGAAAAGAAAAGTGACCATTAGATTTCCAGGTATAGAACTCTGTTCTTTGAGAGGAAAAGGAAATGTGGTGTTTGCTTTTAGACTCAAAGAATAAACTGTTTTAAAGGCAATGAGAAACTAATCAAAGATTAATCTCTGATGGTGGTTGGAAATAATCTTTTGCCACTTCTGCATACTGAGAGATGTGTCTTTGTACATTTGTAACCATTTGATGTCTGAGCAATAGTGTCTCAGACTAATAAAAGCTTCCTATAGTACAATGGTATGGATTAAATACATAAAATATTCTATTAGAATCAATATTGTATAAAATATGGGAAAAAATGAAAACATGTTATCTTGCCTCCAAACTTTGATTTATTGAAGTTTAATTTGGCAAGAAAAAAGAATTGAATCTTGATCAATATTTAAACCAAAGGGAAAAGGGAAAAACAAAACAAAACCAAAGTTCTTTGTTTTGCATGGCTAAGCCATTCTGTTTATCTCTGTAAATATGATTTTCTTTTTGTTTTTTTTTGTTTGTTTGTTTGTTTTCCTTTTCCTTTCTCTTTAGAATTTTGTTAAAGAAATTCTAAAAGTTTTAAAAACACTTGCTTTTCACAATAAGCCATGAACACTACAGTGACAATAGTTCCGTATTATTATTTTTTCTTTGTTTTGTTTGCTTTTTTTTTTTTTTTTTTTTCCTTTTGGTATGGGAGATCAAAGATTTAAAGTCTTACTCTAAGATGTGTTTGCAGAAAAGTTACAGGGCAACAAAAAGTGAGTGTTTACTCTTGTCCAGCGTGGTGTACACTTGGCAATTGTAACTGAGTCCACAAACAGCTGTTATAGCCTAGGCAGCAGCAAGAGAGGCTCAGAGCTCTCACCCAGGAGCAGATGTTTACAAGAGAGGACACGATGGCCACCGCTGCATCAGTGTCTGCAGAAGGAGGAAGCTCACTGTCTCAAGAGCAACTCTGTGTGCTGTGAGGCTGGAAGGAAGCTAATTCAGTCTTCAACTCCTGGAGTTTCTTCTCTCCAGTTGAACTCGTTGGCAACAGGTTACAGGTTTATAACCAGTTCAAGGTTCACTCCCTATATGTAATTATAGGAATTGTATGTGGAAATGGATTAACATATCCCTCTATGCCTAAAAGAAAATAAAAATGAAATATGTCTTCACATATTCCTCATAGCTGTCTGCCTCTTGTCTGCAATAGGATGTTCATGTACAAAAAGTGATTTTCTTTAATAAAAAGTGAAAAAGTTAAAGATGTGATTGTCCATCCCTCTAGAAGTGGATTTTAAAGTAATAAGAGTGCCTGTACTTCTCCCTGTTGGGAGGGTACCCTGAGTTTTCAGCAGTGACAATTTCTCAAGGTGTCTCTCTTCACTGATAGGGTCACAGTTACAGCAGCTTACCCGTACACTACCCTTGGCTTTTAATTAAGAGGATACTTCATTTTTATCTTTCTTTACCTCACTTTAGATCACCATCTGAAATTATCTACACAAGATATTTCATAGGTATGTGCTTTCATTTAAAATAAAATAAGTTGGCTATATACATCAGAGGTGAAAAGTAACTTTTTCGGCATAATTAGCTAGCTGGCTAATCACATGCCATGGTGACTCAGGCATGTAATCCCAGCCATTTGTGTGGCTAAGGTAGGTGTGTCAGGAGTTCCAAACTAGTCTGAGTTACATCATGAGTTCTAAGCCAGCCTGCACTACAGAGTAAAACCTCATCTCAAAAAGAAAAAAATAATGTTGGACCCACCTCTTTCCTGGCCATTCATGAATCCCCTTCACCAAAAGTTGTAACATTACACATCCTCCCTTCGCAGCTGGAAGCTCAAGGTTGAATTCTGTGACTCCCAGGAGCACATTTCTGCAAAATTGATGCCAGATGCCTTGACCCAGGCTGCTCTAGACCTCAAGAGTTTCTCAGAATGTATTGCTTCAGGTTAATGAAATGGAAAGATAGTAATTTACACATCAGCTTTTGGGACCAAAAAGATGATAATTTTAAGATGGCTATGTAATAGTATCACATAATTCTTCAACTGTGTATAAGTGAATGAACTTGAATTTTTTCCTATTTGATATTATAATATAATGGCACTTCTCCCTCCCATTTGCTTCCTCCATATGCTCCCATATATCCCTCCCCACTCTCCTTCAAATTCATGGCTTCTGTTTTTCATGAATTTTTATTGTATGCATATATGAATACACACACACACTTTCTTAATTCTAACCTGTTCAGTCTATATAAATGCTACCAGTATGTATGTTTTCTGGGTTGATTGTTTGGCACTAAACAACCATGCTACTCCTCCTTGGGGAAGGTCACTTTTCTTCTCCTTATTTCATTCAACATCACATTTTAAACATGCACATACTGCTCTCCTAGTTAAGTGACTATAATAAGACATGAAGTAGATGTGTAATTTCAATGCTTATAGACTTTCTCACTATCTTGATAGAGATGTTGCTATAATCCTAAACTCACATGAAGAGAAACTGAATGAGTTTGTTTGCAGTCACCAGTGGGTCGCGTGGGGGTAAGTTGGTCCTGCATTTATGTCCAAGATTCCAAATTTCAAGCTGTGCCCATTACATACTTACTATCTCTCTTGTGAAAGTATACATTTCTCATTGGTGATGAAGACTCCTAAGAAGACAGATTAAGATTCGGGATTCAATGTTTCCTCTATTAAATGTCAGATAAGATAATAATGTCAGATTGAATGAAGATAAGATAATAAATAAAAATAGGAAGTTTTCTTCAGAAGACAGATTTTTGTGTGAAAGATTAGGCCGTAAGCCCTAAATCTAAGCAATCTGATAGTACTAATGCTATATTCATTTTAAAATGTAAGGCATTATATGCATCCCAAAAGAATGCATTTCAGTTAAAAGTAGGATGTGTTTCTTATGTAAGCTTTTCTTTTTTTTTTTTTTATAAAACCTATCCATAAAATACACTTTATTAGGGAACCACAAAGGCAGAAACATGAAGCACATTTTCCCTCGGTTCTCTGCTCACCAATTCGTCATTCTCATTCAAATCCAATTCATTTCCCCCTAAATTGCCTTTCTCGTTTTTCCTTATAAATGCCTTTTACATGCAAAAATATTCATTGGAAAATGAATTTATCGACACAGAACTTTAAAAGCCGTCCCTTGCTCGGGTTATTTGTCTTGTTAGCTGCCTCTGGAGGTTTTACTTTGTAACAGGAAGCCAGCAGAATGTGAGAAAAGATCTCCAGTTATCTGTATAGATGCATGAACATGTATGTCAACACACACACGGTGAAAGGATATTTTAATCTTATTGTCTGGATGGGAACAGGATTTGATTACCAAAACATAATTACTTCATAGGAAGCAGAAAAAAGGTGAAGGTTATCGTGATTCTTTGATGGGTGGTAATCCACAATGGTTCAAGGCCACTCAAGGGCAGCAGTGCAATAAAATACATACAACTAAACATAATTGTGTCAACTTCATACCACCAATAAGCATATGAGGGCCTCAGTGTCCTCAATTACTGTTCAGTCTCTAACTGTCTTGTATTCTGCACATCCAGTGCTATGACATCCTAAAAGGAAAACTTTTGGTAAAGTATATGCTTCTGGAGATTGTCACTACCCAGTTTGGACTATTTGGCAGCCAAATAACCAAAGTGAAATCTCATATCTTCTAATAAATGTTTTCCTTATGATTCATTCTTTGGAGTAGGCCATGGTAAATTGAGCTTAATTAGCAGTTGACAGGATGTGACTGGATTTACAAAGAGATGAGAAGTTCACTTCCACAGAACACAGTAGGTGGAATTAGACAGTTCCCCCTGGTGCTTTGAATTCTCACCAGCAGGGAACCCACAATTCTTTAAACAGAAGATAGTTACTACTAGAAATTTTGCTTTGTGACACTCTCAGAGTAGTTGATTACGGAAATAGAATGTTTCTGTTAAGAAAGGATTTAGTTCTGAGCAACTGAGTCATTCCACAGATGCTGAGCAATTTCTGAAAATTCCCTTTACTCTGAAATTCGAGGGTTCTTTCTCTAAGTGTAGGCAACTACCAGGGAGCTCCTCCCCCTTGGTTTGATGGTCTTTGTCCACTGTCAGCTTCAAATAGCCTTTAAAGGGAAAAAGGGGAACCGCTTATTGAATCTGATTTCCAGAGAAACACATTTTAGGTTCACTAACAATAATCTGCCTCTCATTTCTCTTGATCTAGAGGCCTTTGTTTTTCATATTTAATTGTTGTATCCACATCATTTACATAATAAAGTCCTTTTCTTCACATTTGAAACAGCCTCAGGTAAACAACAAATTCATCTCCCCACATATTTCTCATTGATGAACTATTTTAGAAAAATGTGACTCAAACATCTCCTGCAGTAGCTTTGTTATTCTTCCTTTCACTCGGTTTAATTTTTCTTGAAGAAACTCACTGTATTATCAAATGCATACTCCAATATTTTCAGCACCACAATATTATATTCTTGTTGACTTGATGACAGTAGTAATAAATATTATTGGTGCACAAAGAATACTGGAGATTAAGAAATGTTCTTGTTTTGTGAGGTTTCTGTAACACAGAAGGTGTGATGCTTGGATTAGTAGCTCCAGAGTCTTTGTCCTGCTGCTCCTAAAACCCAGATGGGAAGTATCTTCTGTGTCTTCAGTCCCCTTGCTACTTACTCTTACCACGACTCAAAGAGTCCTACTCTTAGAAAAAAAAAAAAAAAAGAGGCAACTAAGGAATGCTGAAGTCAGAAGAAATGATCTTCCCCAGAGATGAGCACTCTGATTGCTTATCCAATACAAAGTGGTCAGTCCTAAATAAGATACAGGCAAGTAATAATAAATGAACTGAGCAGGTTCAATTTATTTATTTAGGCATAAGTGTGTGTGTGTGTGTGTGTGTGTATGCAAGCAAAATGAAGAAAAAGGGCATGGTTTCTGGGAGACAGAGGGTGGGCATGGGAGGAGTTGGTGGGAGGAAAGGGAAAGGGAAATGATGTAATTGCTCTTTAATTTTAAATTTTTACTTAATATATTCTAGCTTTTGATCTAATAGGGCAGTCACATTGCTGAAAATGAATTGAAATGGCCTTTACCATCTTGTTTTCTCTTTTAAAAATGAAAGGCCAGAATAGAGCAACTGAGGTATAGAAAGATAAGTGGGTATAGAGAGGGAACTGTTAGATTATGAATCAGGTCTCACAAGCATCCAGAGCTGTGAGACCCACAGCTCCATGAGATGTCCACCCATGATCACCTGAGCCCAATCCCCTGACTCCCAACTGGCCTACAGATGTGTGTGATACATTAATAAATGATTCGTGTTCTGAGCCACTGAGGTCTGAGTCTGTTGTTACTCAGTAATAGCTAATTCATATTTGCCTTTGGAGGCAACTGAGTTTGCAATAAACAATCATTAATATTTTTCAATGTTGATGTATATTTTAATGGCTTCAAAGGGATGAGTCCTTTTGTACTTTGAAACTATTTCAATTTTCCATGAACTTTCTGCAACCAATACTTACTACCTATGGCCCTCAACCTTCAATATACTATGATTATACTTTTGAATTAACATTTAAAGTCAGTTTTATTCTTACCAGATAACTATCATGACATCTGTCTACATAGAAAAGTATGTGATAGGGATGTATGTGACTTGCCTTGCTGTGACTTGTATTTGTCCCTTTTCATTGTTCCCAAAGTTCATTATTCAGGATAGTGGTGTATAATTGCTCTCTTTACCTGCCCACATAATTACATGCCAATACCTTTACTCAAATTAGAAATCATATTCAGCTCAGATATTCTGCTGACACCACACTCCTCACTAAATGTCAGAGTCTCAAGAAAATATACTCAGCTCCAAAGGCCTAATTAGGTTTTCAGTAATTCATGCCATTTGTCATTAGGACAGTCACACAAATCAGCACACACTCAGGTCCCCAACCACTAAATCCAGACATGAAGCTAAAAGATCACAGGTGAAAATCTTAAAAGGACTTTCAGTAGTTTCCCCGTTGCTTTCATTACCCTTTTCTTTATGGTTTCACTTGTCAGGTACTATCTCTAACCCTATAAAAAATGCCCGGTGCTAAGATTCAGGAAAGGGGTGGAAAGAAATAAAGATAGCACTGTTTAAAAACAAGCAATTGTAAAGGAGCTGTAAAACATGCCTACATGTGGGTAAATTCTCACCAAATGTTCCAAAATATTCTGTCTTTCTATCACA